CTAGATGCGAAAATAAAATTTAGCGTTCGCCATCACAGAAGCATAAATATTTGTAAGGATAGTTAAAATATTTTTTAATTAATTTTATGATTTTTAATATTAGCGCAGTGCAAACAACTTTTTGGCGGAAATGTCCAACTTTCATAATATTAATTAAATATATTGGTTATTTAGATGATTTTTCAAATTTTTATCTGCGTTTTAATTATATTAAGTAAACAACAAAAATAAGCAAATTAATTAATTAATTATTACTATAGACTTACGCAAATTAAAGACCGCCAACGTAATTTTATTTAATCATAATTTAAACATATATATACACTTTTTTTTTGGAGTAAAAAGTAATCAATAGAATTATTTATTTAGAAAATTAGCAACGCGTCCAAAGTGGTTCAAAAATGTGTGAAATAAAGAGCAAATATTGCAGCGCTCAATAACAAAGCAACAGCACAGTGATGCTGGTGACAAAGGCGCTACGAGAGCGTGCGTTACTCAATTTAGAAGAGTTCTTTGTCAGGTGTAAAATGATCATTTCTTTGGAAAGAGTCTCGCTCTGTCGTTCGCTGATCACAAAAATCCAGCAACGCGAATTTAGCTTTAACTCTTTCTATAGCAAGTGTTGTTGGTGTTGCTAATGAAATATCATGTATTTCTCTTATATGCTTAAATCTGCTCTGCTAAGTGCTTATCAGTTGTTTGGCTAATTTATTTATAACTACAACAATGTGCATATTAATGTGTGTTTTTTTTTATTTTTATTTTTCCAATATTTGCATATTTATTTATTTTGTCTCAGAGTTAATAACATCTACGAACATCTCATTCTTAAAACCGTCGCATCGCAGAAATATTAAATAGGCGTGTGCGAATGTGTGTATCGTGTAGCTGCTGTTGGTGGCAGTTCAGTTTTAGTCAGCGTGTTCAGTTGGGGATTTTCACCTCGTGAAAACAGTTGGAAATGATCGGGTGAATGTAGATAGTGCAATCAGTCTTAGTAGAAGTGTTGTTGATCTTTTAAGAGCTGTGATTAATTTTGGAGGAAAAGAAGTGAGAAGTGTACAGAAGTAACACTAGTAAGTTTCGGAACTGATTAGAATTTTCATATAATTTATTTAATAGATAAACGATCACTGCAGCTCACTGTGGGTGCGTTTAGATGGGTATAGTAGATGCTGTTGTATAGTCTTGCATAGATTTCCATAGCTTGTTATAGTTAAAAAAATATTTATATATGCATGCGGCTGCGCTGCTCTTCAAATTTGCGCGTTGACGTTTTTTTATTCTGCACCTCCGAACGACCTATGGATTTTCAATAGGAAATTACTTCATGTCAGGAAGGCCTTGAAATTCCCTGTCGAGGAACGATCGTAATAGAAAATATTGGTAAAGCAAGAAGTTCGTTCTTTTTTTTTTCTAAGAGTTGGCGTTATTGTCCACAGTGCTATACGAAACTGAAAACGTGTTTATTCGCGCTATAAGTTTGTCTTTGACAGTTTTTCGGTTGATTGACTCAGTACGTTGTGAGCGCCTGTCAAAGATGTACACCAGCAAAGAGAAAACTCGCTAAATTTTGCAATTTTTCTTCGATCAAGGCGAAAAAGCAACCAAAGCGGTTGAAAAAATTAACTAAGTTTATGGGCCCGATACTGTTAGCGAACGGGTAGCACAAAAGTGGTTTGCTAGGTTCCGTTCCGGTAATTTCGATGTCAAAGATGCACCCGGTTTTGCTGTGTTTGGGGAAGGAATCATTTACTAAGAGCTACTCTCCTATGGCCAAATGCTTTATTCGGCCCTCTACTGCCAACAAATGGACCGCTTGAAGGTATTACTCATCCAGAAGAGGACATCTTTGATCAACAGAGGATGAATTGTGGTCCAGCAAGACAACGCCAGTCCCCACACGTCTTTGGTGACGCGCCAGAAGCTGCAGGAGCTCGGATGGAAGGTCCTAATACACCAACGATATAATCTGGACCTGGCACCTAGAGATTGCCATATTTTCCTGGGGCTAAAATCTCAGCGATTCCTACATCCAAAAATTATTGAAAATTAATTTAAATAAAAATATAAGTTAAATTTTCTAATTATAGTCGCCTCTCGGCAGGTAATGTCCCCCCCTCCAAGTGTAATTATGACATGAAACAAAGCTCCTCATTAAAAACAAAACCATCAGCCATTCGAAGAAAGCTTAGTATAAACTGTAGTTCGGTGCATTTGTTGGAAAGGAATGGTTTCTGGTTTCTAGATCGTCACCAGCAATGACTTTACCAAGGTTGCTTGTCTGATTATTTTTGAATTTGTTAAGGAAATATTAAGCTAAATGCACTCCAACGTCTCTTTGGGCCTCATTGAAAATTAGTATAGAGCATAGAGCATGCTTTGTATATCCTAGATGATTACTTAACGGAAAAACTATGGAATTCAAGCCCAATTCATTAGCAATAATCGTCTGCATCAATAGTGGGTCTCCGTAAATTTTCGGCTCTTCACCAAATCTACATTGATGTCATCAGTTGAAGATTTTGGTGAAATTTCTCGGGGCTCATGCTTTAAGGAAAAATGCCAGGTCTGAAATCTTCGGAATCACTTAGAACAAGTCCTTAAATGAAGTGCAACGTTCCAAATGCAATTTGGCATTCACTGAATATTTATCTTGGCTTTAAATTACGCCGAAACCAAAAGGGAATTACATGGCGAATTTCTGTTTGCTTTGGTGGTGGTATTTCGTCTGACCTATCCTCCGCTTTCTTGCGATTCGTCATTGAACTGATTACACCCCAAAGGTGAGGAGAAATGCTTGGAACCATATTTTTGACTAAATTGATGAAAGGTGTTAACAATAGTCTACTAGATGTTTCTGCAACGATTTCAATACATTCCGCCAGCATTGATTCCTCTAACTCGTTTTTTTGCTGCAAAGCTTACTTACTAAGGCTTAATTAAAGCTTTATAATCATTTCCTTCCCCTTTTTACATGTAATCTATAGCAGCTGATGAGCAAATCTGTAGCTGGTTAGTGTGAGAGGGAATTGCAACCACAATCGGTCTTTGGCGATCGGTCTAGGGTTCAGGGCAGTCCGTTGTGCCACTGGTTTCCGGTCACCGGTCTGTTCGGTTTTTCGATTATCATTCAGATGATCCCCACGGTTTGGTGGACGGGAGGAGGCAAAAATAGAAAGGTATGAGCCTTCTTACCGAGATGTTTAAGCGAAATGTCGTTCAAGAAAGTGCGTCAAAAATTCAATTGAAATTTATACAAAAACTGAATCACGTGGTTTTCTTGTAGTGACTGAAGGTCCATTAATTTAAAAAAAGGATTAATTTAAATAGTAGACCGCAAACCTTGCTCAAATAACCCTTAGTTCAAAAAGCGAAAAGCGTAGATGGATATTATATTTTGGCTGGCTTAATGAAGAAGTAATAAGTAAAATTATCATAAAAAGTGAAGTTCAGGATTCTCGTTTTTCCATTTTCATAGTTTTTTTTTTTAATCAAAGAGATAAAAATCAGAAACAAAAAAATTTTTTTTTCCAACGAAAACTCAATTTTTATTTTGCTTACATCTGTTCAATGCTAAGCAAATTATGGTGAATTAGAATTTTAAAATGAAATAAATCAATATTTTGTATGGTGTTATTACATAATTCACACCTCATCAAGATTGTTTGATACAATTACTTACATATTTATATTAACACAATCTCATCCACACACATACACGTATATAGCCAAATGCATGTGTACATGTGTATTTATATGTGTGTGTGTATGTTAAATTATTATTTAGTTCGACTGTGAATCACTGTCACATTGCTGCCTGCCTGAAAAACCAATAAATTTAAACTTCTTTTTTGTATGCTTCCATATGTACGTATGCATGTTTGTGTATGTGCACATCGCAAACAAGTAACTGTTAATTGCAAAATTAAATTTCCATATCGCACACATACATACAGATAATAATTGTATAAAATATTGAAAAGTTTCGCGAAAAGCAAGCGACGACCATTGAATCGCGCAGGCCTTAAGAAATAACCTGTCTCTATGAAGCGGAAAATTGGTGTTGCGACATTTGACAGGAGCACTTCCGCAGCTAGCGCTACGTTGTCAAATGCTCGCAGCGACAGCGACAGCGACAGCGACAACGACAATGAAATTCAATTTAAATTATTAAATGCGCGAAAATGCGCTGCAAGGAAGCAAAATGAAGCCAATTAAGCGACCAAAGTTGAGGCGCCACATTATGGTGGCGGCTACGGTGAGCGGAAGCGAGCGGCATGTAGTGGGTGGCAGATGGCAGGTGACAGGTGACAGGATTGACATTGCCTATGCAGTCGCTTTTGTTAATTTGTTGTATTTATTGTATTTGTTGCATTTGTTGTTGTTGCTGTAGCTGTCTTCGCTGTTGCTGCTGCCAATGGCTCCGCGTGGCAGGTGCGAAAATGGCAGTCAAGTAATCAGTGCTTATCAGCAGCTGACAATCGTTTTATACCAAACACGATGCAACAAGCAGCTGGTCTAAGGGCGAAAAGTTGCAAAGCGAAAAAAGGAAAAGAGTTTATACCGTTGCATCAACGTGGGCTCTTGCTCGCTGATAGAAGGTAGGTAAAGCAAGGCCAAATCTGCTTTATTTAAGGAGACCAAAAGCTATTGGAGCACAGCAAAAACACAGCGGCAAATGCAGTTGGCAGGCAGCGGAGTATAATGTAAGAGGTGAAAAGCAACAGACTATAACAACAACACCAACGCCACTTATAAGCTATTTTAATAATGGCCAAGGGCGACAAAACGCCATACAATGCGCGTTGAGACGAGTTCAGTTGGGTTAAGTTGGGGTGAGATGATGATGAGAAAATGCGCGCAGCTTTTGTTGCAATGCAAATGCGTTGACAAAGAAACTTTAAGCATTTCACTCCTTACAACCACTTTTGTTCAGAATAAATTTCATTTACTCCTGTTTCATATAATTTTTTATTTTTTTTTTGCTTTTCAGGAAGAGCGGCAGCCGCACACTCAACATCACCTGGCAAGATGACACAACATGACCGTACATCTACAACAACAGCAGACCAAACATTACCAGACTATAGCGAACAAATGCATACACCAACGCCAACGGCAGCATTAACTACAACAACAGATATAGAAATCGGTGTTGGAGGTAACGATGATGGCCCTCATGGCCATGGCGCGGAACTGCATCAAGATTACAAAGGTCCTAAAATGTAAGTATCCTTTGTAGTTATTGAGAGTTGTATTTAACGCAATGAAATAAATGTAGTCGGCAGAGCCATACATACATTTGTACATAGGTAAGTAATTAGCGTTGGATGCGTAATTTTGTTGAATTATCGTAAGACTTTAATATATCTGCTATCCCATCATCACTTCGTTCAGGCCACTCATATCTGTTATCCTTTTTGTGGAGAGCCATTCGATGCTTGGTACCCTATAGATTACGGGTCTTCTCTGACGAATATGTGCAAGAGTACTCACAGAGAATAGAGTCAACAAGCAGTTGTTGTGGCGGTTTGTCTATTCATACATTTTCTAGACCTTATATTTTTATTAGTATTATTTGTTTATCTCTTCTCATACTTGGGCCAAATCTGTTAACTAAGAGTCGGATAAAGTTTCCCATAATCTCGAGCTTTTTGCTCAAATAGCAAGTTTAACTTTCTACTGATCGTTTCGTCAACTTGTCCAACTCATCAGCTCTCTTGTTCTCATGCTCGGGAACTTAGTATGTGGAGATGTCGAGCAAGCCTGCCAGCGACTTAAGCGCCTTTCTTCATTGCTTACGATATTTGAATTCATCGTTGACGGCTATGGTATGACCTTCTCTGCAAAATTTAGAATCAAATAAACCATGAGCATGGAACGATAATGATAGGCATTAGCGGTAGCGACAAATTGTTTTTTTTTACCGTTGTAATGAGGGTGAGCTTTTTCAGAAAACATAATTATTCAATAAAATTTGAAGATCTTCTGTTCAGCAATCTTCCCCCAGTGTGAGATTGGACTTTATGAGACTTTGTACCTAGATCTACGCAATATAAGAAATGTTTATATCCTGCGAGTTAATATTGAGGGCTGTTCGAACACAATTCGGGCTACAGCAACAACTTCTTTCTGCAAATGTACTGACGAGTATGTGCGCAAGTTGCTTTCTACAATCTTTCATCTCACTTTTTAGTATCAAAAAAACTATTCTCATCTCTCTCTCAGTTGAGTAATTATCTCATCTTTAGTTAAGCAGTTTCAAATCTCGACGCTTAGCAAATGGTTCTCAATCATGGCTTGGCATATGGCGTATGTTATGCCTCTTGTGTCGGTTGAGTGGGTGAGGACTTATTACTATTATAAAAACGGGCTTCGTTTACCGCTATGTTATTGAAATTTTTAAAGCAAAAATAAGCCTTCATATATAAGTGATTATAGCTTTCATGAAAATGGTCTTTAGTATGAAGTACCAGAGGATAAGAGATAGATCCACAAATCGATATGATGAGAATGTCTAGCTGATTTGATCTAGTCATGTCCACCTGTCTGTCTATTTCAAGGTAAACTTGTCTGTTAGTTTTTAGGATATATGAACCATACTTAGCAAGCAGATGTTTTTTATTACTCACCATTTATCAGAACCGACCAGATGGGAACACCATATCATTTTGCCCCTATGTATACAAGCACTTGGTTGAGATATTGAAAAAAAGCATCTCAGCGCATGAAATTTAAAAACTTTAACCCAATATAAGAGCATATAAGTGCTCTATAAGCGGTAGCGGCCTAAGACATCTCTTTGAGACATTTCTTCTAGGTACACTTAAATTCAAATAAGTATCTGTATTGAATTTCATTGAATTGAATTGGATTTCATATAGTCAAAAAAAAAGTAAGCAATACACTATTTTTGATGAGCTCCTGAAATAAGGTATTAAGGCATGGGCACCCCCGAAGTCACACTCCTTTCTATTCTGATTCTTTTTTTTTTTGTTGGTAGTCTGTTTAAGGCCGCCTCCGAATGGCTCTTAGATTTTTATTTATTTATTGATGTCAGACACATCAGCGGAGAGGTTGAAACTTTCTGCCGAGGGGCGACTGCAGTTAGAAAAATTAATTTCCTATAATGTTAGTTGTTGTTTGGCCAACATTATTATTGACCGAATTATGGCAACTTTCTTCATTCTTCAAAATTACTGTTATCAGCATTGGGTCTTGTATTGCAGTTAATTTTGGCCTGAGAAGATTCAAAAATAAAAGTTACAGAATAATTACAGGATTAGTTAGGATATTTGTAAGACATCACAGCTTAAGCTTTTTATTTCTAATAGAAAATTGTTATTTATTAAAAATATTATTTTTAAATATGCGTTCATAAGTATGTTGCAAATATTTTATTCAATTATTCATATTGAGAAGTAGAGCAAAAAAGCTGTAAGCATTGTTCATGGTCTGAAAAGAAAAGAAAGGAAAAGAAAAAACTATTTATTAAGCATTACTTTGATGTGGTAACTTATGCTGATTTTTTTGTATGAAACGGATGCGTTATAAGAACATTTAGGAGAAATTTGTTCGCTTTTGCATAAAATAGGACAAATTTAAATTGCGCCACGAAGAATTTGCCGTTAACTTAGAAATATGCTGTTATCACTGCCTTACTGCTGAAGCCTAACAGTTCCTGTTTTGAAATTCACTTCAACTTCAGACTCAAATTGCCTTGAATCACCGGCAGTGACATTCGACGGCTTGTTCTCCGTAACACTATGAGCTTTTAGCTTTTAGCTGGCCACTTACTTTGACACTTGAGCTTTTCAAAACAGTATTACGATTTGCTCCATAAGCGGTATCTGTCTCATACATCTCCTTCTCAAATATATCTAAGATACACTCTGATGCCTCCAGCTTGATTACTCCTGCTTGGGGACCACCACCTCTTTGTGAGGCATAGACCAACTTATTCGACAACCCTCCCCCTTTGGTATGAATCTTTCGATCTTCTGGTAAATGATCTCCAGGCGCCGGTGTATTCAGCGTTAAAACAGAGTAAAATTTTTAAAGTGGCATATCAACTCGGATCATAAGAAGGGCAATAATTTGTAATTTTCAATGCCTTTCTTTAATTAGGATGTTTTTAAAATTTTTAGATCTTACTAAGCATTTTATATTATTTGCTTGTAATCTTTTTTAACGAGGTCTCCTTATAACTCCAAGCAATTTTTTCAACAACGATCTCATCCATTTAGAGCTCGGCGTATTTCTCTGCATAATAATCAGGAAAATATCTCGGAGATGATGTGTTACATTTAACTTTTCTACAAATGTGACCTTTTTTCTTGCCTTAAAGTTGTCAGGTAGTGATGTGTAATGTGATTTTTTGGATACTTCTGCCAGATTCTTGGTGCCAGATTTCCCTTCCTAGTCTAATGCTTGGAATGCATTTTGTTGTTTGGGGCGTAATAACATGGAATTATTGCCCTGTCCCTAAGCATTACCTAGTGCCATTAGCAAAGCCTGTGTTCAAATCGTGATACTACCAACATTAAAAAAGTTATATCAAATTAATTTATATATAAATATTAAATTATTTGCGGTCACCTCTCTTTGGTGAGTACACCCCAACATTCTTTCTACAACATTTTTTCTATAGCGCTTGGAATCTTCTCAGACCACCATCATATTTCTACTTTCCCGGTTCTTGGGATTTAAATTAAGTGAACAGGATTTCAAGTAAAATTCTAAAAATCTGCTTACCTTGGCGAATATAGGCAACCCTACTTGAAAGAATCCGCCCGCCTTCAATGTCGCTGGACGTTTCAATAGTTCCATATAGAAAATCATAAATTTGCGCGAACGCATATCAAAACCAGTCCAATCCGAATTGAATATATCGTTAGTTAATGCATTGGAGTTCGCCGTTACCGCGTTGCCATAGTAACAAGGCAAAAATATTTGTAGAGTCATTACGGATACAAATTGAATAGTGCTAAGGAATATGCCAATATTCTCCATAATATGCATCTTTAGGGAAGAATAGAATTAACAATTAGAAGAGTGGATAAGTAGTAATTAAATTCCAAAAGTAATTACAGTCTAAAATTAAAATTAGAAATTAAAATTAAAATCAAAAATTAATTAAAAAAATTAATATTATTAAAAATAATTATTAAAACTCATAACTAATAAAATTAAAATTTAAATATAAATAAATAAAATTGAAATAACAATAAAAATTGAAATGAAAATGAAAATGAAATTAAAATTAAATTAATTAATTTGAAATTAAATATTATATCAAAATGTGTAAGAAATAATTACGCGTTGCAAACGATAGCCGCTAAAGCAGAGTATAAAGGCGCTCAGAATAATTTGCGCCAACACAGGCAGAGACACCAACGACTCGCATTGTGTGGTCAACCTGTAAAAATGGAAGAGTGAAAAAGAGCTTGAAAGTTGGATTGTGCACATTTTTACCTCTTTACATTCATATGCAATTGGAAAATTTCACGCATTTCGCGGTGTACACCATCCTCGTCACCTCTACCACCAACACCATTATCGGCGCGGCTCCGACGTAATGCCGCCAAGCGCCAACCAATCAATTTGTACAATAGCGACAAGTGAAACATGAAGTAGCAAAATATCATGTCCAGCATAACATTGGAGATACAAGTCATCATCATGCTAACACTGCAATAGCTCCATGCATACCAGTAATTACGCGGATGACGCCACTCGAAGGGCACATAGTAGTCGAAAGGCAGCACATAGATGTCAGTCGCAGTCAATAGGACACCCACGCAAGCGAACACCACCACACCAATACTGGTGAGTGTGTAAGAGTAGGCAATAATGTCGAATGAGCGTAGTTCGCTCTGCCATTGCAGACGCTCGGACTCTTGACGTAGCGAATATAGAACTTCATGTGCCAACTCATCCATATAAAGCCAGGCAGAGCTGCCTTGTCGCCAAATATTCAATATTTTCACAACCAAAGCGAGTTCGGTGAGTAACATGTAAAGTACACCGCTGGTTTCCTCCAGGTCATGTGCGAGCAGTGCAGCGGTGAGCATTAGCAAAATGAAAGTGAATGTCAACGGTAAATGCAATAATAATCCATATAAACGTTGTAATCGTTGCAAATTCCGGTTGCGTTCATATTGACGGCGATCCTCTGCCCATTGCCAAAGACCAATTGCTTGCAATACATAGACAATTATGCGTCCAGATGATATTCTTGAGTTTGGAGATAAAATCCGTGATCGTGAATTTTTAGTCATCGCTTTAGGTTGTTTATTACAGCAGCACTAAAGCAAGAGTGTTTATAAATGAGGCAAATGGTAAGGATATACATCCTTTATATAGATGTTGCCGCAATCTCATTGACGCAAGCGTTTAAATAAATCAAAAGCGGAAACGCTTGCGAGTTAATAATGCCAATACAGTTTTGCTTGCAGCTTTGCTTGGATATAACGAATTTGGTTTAAAAAAACGCTTTAAGAAGCTATCATAATTCAGTACCTGAATATTGTAAAGACATTTTTTGTTCCACCTCCTTCTTTCGGCTCTGAGTAAACCAAATTTTGTTAACTCTGTTTCCTTCTGAACAACCACTATTCTTAAGATACCTGAGAGTTTAAATGACGGAGTATCGTGACCAACTCATAAACTCATACTTAATTTTATCTTAGATTTGTGGCGAACACCGTAGAGGATGAACCAATTTTTTCCAGTTGTAGCAGAGTAAGTTAAAGTCTTCTGACGCTCGAACGGCGAACGGAGGAAGAAATTTCATATGATCGCTCAAGCGGCTTATCACTATTGTAAAACTTTTGTCATTCATTAATAAGTGCTTTAGTGGACTTTCGCAATTATTTTGAACAGCTCAATAGGCATATCCTGCATCATATGTTTCAAAAGATAATTTTGGTCTAACTCCTCCTTCAATTTGTGGAGTGCCTCCTGATGACTTTCCAATAAATGGCGGGACATGAATTTTAAGCTAAGACGCCTACGACCGGCTACTAGAGCCTTACAGGGAGGTTTCATTTCATGTCTGGAATACAATGTTAGATAAATTAACTTATAATATTCGAAAATTACACTTATTTTACTCTAACTTTGGATGTTGGTCAGGAGGGGACTCGTACCACTGACTTTGGTAGCACGTTCGGATAAATTATGATACTTCCTTCAGAGGCTTTGTGAGGAATTACTGCAAAATATTTTAGCTTGATATCCACTTGAAGATAGGGAAGAAGGTTCAGACGTAACAGAGAAGGGTTGCCAGCTATTTTAAATTCGAATTTCTAGAATAAAAAATGCACCAACAATTGAAAATATATGAATTTGAGAAAATATTCCGAATATATTAAACTCAATAAAATTATTTTTGATTGGAGTTGCCACTGACATAAACTTTTTTTAAGTAATTGTATTGATAACATAATGGCAATATTACAATATAGTGCCAAACTGAAGAGTTTCGGGTAACTGATTAACCGTAGTGTTGAGGCTTTTATATAAATTCATTCCATAAATAATTTTACAATATTTATGGTCTATTATTATGCCAAATTTTAGAACTTTTTCAGGTACAATATAAATAAAATTGCCGCTTTGTAGCCGCTGAAGCTATTTTTGGTAATTTTTTGGATATTTCGTATTGATGTTTTTCTAACAATTGGAGGGACCTACAGTTTATACTTAGCGGCCTTTATTCATGTCCGAAATACACTCGGAGGGGTTGACATTACCTACCGAGGCGCGACCGCAATTAGAAAATTTAGTTTAATATTTTATTTAAATCCGTTTTCCATAACTTTTGGATATTGGTGGCGGTGGAATATGTACCTGAGCTTTCCGAATGTCAGTAGGCAATGCTTACCACTCGGTCACCGCGACCGGCGAGAGTTTTTCAAGTATACCCATATATTTATATATACATATATGCATGTGTAAATGCATCAGAATCTGATTTTCGTTTGGGAAAACTGAAGAAAAACGAAGAAAGTTTATGACAACTGAAATTTTCAGAAGCTCCCAACAGATGGCGCTGATTTGATGAGCTGATTAGCTTAATGTGACTACACTGGCCGAGAGGTTAACAATATGGGCGTTTAAAGAATTAGGATGGGATCAAAAAAATATACCACGCCAAATGATGTTTAAACTGTTTAGCTGGTTGACTATTGCCCTCGACTCTTTTACTGTATTGATGTATTGAAGACAATAAACTCACCAATTTGCTCTGTTTTGGCAAAAGGGCGGCGATGCTCACATTAGAGGTAAATCCCAACATTGTTTCTCCAAACGGTTTTTGTTTTTGTATTGAAAACTATGATCGTTTCATTCTTAAAATAAATAATTTAGTAAGTGTACGTCATATTGTTCTTCCGATGTAAACCGAAATTCATCGACTAACGACGAATTTCATGTGACCAGTTGAGGGTTAACTTTAATCAGCAGCTGCGAAAATAAGCATAAAACCTAGTCGGGAGGGTTAATGCCGTTTTTTAATACTATTGAGCCGGACACTGTTGGTTAGGGGTTGAAGAATATATCCATGGTAAGGTATAACTATCGTATAAGGCGACCAAATCCCACAACATGCAAGTTAAGAAATATTTTTCCGGTTACTACAACAGCAACAGCAGCAACAATATTTTTTAGCTAGTTTTGTAGTGCACTGCACGTTGAATTTGGACCATTTCAGCTTAAAACATTTGGCAAACTGCAAGGCTCTTAAAAAATGGTAAAAAAAAATTAATTTTATAAAAATGCTTCTTAAGGCTTAGAACTACTTAAAAACATTACTGTTTTATATACCTACTTCGAGATTTTAGTCATTTTGAATTTATTAATTAATATTTCTAAGAAAAATTATTAAAATATATAGTGACTGCCGATTATATAGTTTTAAGTAATTTCTATTCATTTCTGCATGAACATTTTAATCGGACTTTACTGTAAGTCCTCATTAAGTCTGCTGGTTTCCTAAATTTACCTGCAACTAATTATAATATTTAATGTATTTCCATATTAAGTTGATTTTCTGGTCGAGTTTGCTTTAAGGAACCGGGAAATTACTTAACAACTGAAATTGTATGTAAATACTTGTATGTGGTAATATTGCCACTGGTTTGTGTGTATGTGTGTGTAAGCAGTAATTGGAGCTATTAATTTATTTTAATTGCTTGCCACATAATTATGTATAATAACACTAAATTGCCTATAATACTGCAGAAACATTGTTGGTTAGTAATAAGAAAATTGAATTCAGTTTATCGAATTTTAAATGATTTGTTTATTTTCACAAACGCACGACAGAACTAGTTGGTAAAATAAATATTTATTAGTGATTTTAACCATACAATGCATTAAGGGACCATTCAGTTATGATTCGAGTATTTCACTGTTTGCTTAAGCTTCTTATTAAAATTATCAATTCTTAAATGGCTGGAGTGCGGAAAGCTTTTGATCGCAAAAAATAATAATATTTATAGCACAGTGGTACTTATATGAACTTATATTACATATAGTTAACTCCAACAATGGTATCTGGAATATTATAATGACATTTTTATATATTCAACTCGACAAGTTTTCCCTCAACAACTGGTGGGGAAACCATCGTCAAACGGCTGATGGATTTTTGTGAGGAGCCTATATTTCATATCACAAATACATACGATGGTATCGACAATCCCTGCAATCCCATCCTTCTTAAATACAAATTTTTTATTTAAATTAATTTTGTTTAATTTATAGAAGTTCTTTGGAGCAGGAGTCGAATTCTTTCTTTCTTTCAAATGGTAGTACGCACTGCTAACCACTCGACTATTGCAGCCGTCAGACAAATGGAAAATGTCTGCAAATGACCAAAATAGTTGAAAGAATTTTCTTTTTTTTCAAGTATGGGGTTATCCTTTGCGTGATTTTAAAAATACAGCGCTGTATTTGGACATATTTCAAACTAACCAAACGTGTTTTGTTTCTCTTAAAAGTCAAGCATATATAAAAAATCTATTCTAACAATCACAGAACACGTTAAAAACTACTAAGAAACGGTGTTTCAAATGTTGCCATGTTTCCCGCTATAGGAGAAGATTATGGTGCACATAATCCTCTAGCTACTCAAGAATTTTGTAAAATTTTAAAAAATCTTAAAATACCATATTGACTGCAGGCCTTACGTCTGTGCATCATAGTTAAGCTTGTTCCCCTTCAAATATCCCTAATAGAAATGAAAGTGTAATCGAAGACCAGACGTTCTCAAAAGGAAAGGGTTTGTTACGATAGATTATCTCGTGTTTTGCACTTGGACTTACAACTACAACAAGTAGTAGATGACGATTTTTGGTTTAAAATTTTCTGCAGCGTCGAGGTATATTTAATACTCGCAGTTATGGCTCCGAGGACCTTCAAATAATTAAGGAGCAAATACTTAACTGCCTATTGCAATCATTGACCTTGAGGTATGATTAGAACCTCTTATTCTTCTTCTTTATTGACTTAAGAAGCTCTTACGCTATTACGGCCGAATCAACCACATCGCGCAATTTGGTTCTTCTCTTCGCTGTTTTGCACCAGTTGGAAATACCAAGTTTCTCTTCACCTGATTACTTTGTAAGCGGAGGTCTTCCTCTTCCTTTGCTTTTGCGAGTAGGTATTGCATCAAGTAATTTCAAAGCTGGCGTGCTTTCTTGAATTCGGACGAAACGACCAAATGAGCCACCTTTCTTACGAAAATTTCTAACGCCGACTAGTCAGATGACAACATCGTCCATGCCTCCGTACCATATATAGTAACTGGAACGGTGAACGACTTGTAGAGTTTGTTTTTCGTTCGTCGAGAGAACGCTATATTTTTTAGTTGCCTACTCAGTCTAAATTAGCACCTATTGCTAAGAGAGATCTTGCGTTGGAGTTCAAGGCTGACATTATTGTTGGTGTTAATGCTGGTCCCTAATATACGAAATTATTTACCACCCGGAAGTTATGTTTGTCATGACTGACTATCTGATGACAGAAAAGTGCGGTCCTGACTGCGCTTCTGGTGTTGTCCAGCGTCAGTTCACACAAAGCTATAAGTTTTGCAAGCATAACAAAGACAGCTTTGAAATCGACGTAGAGGTGGTGTGTTTCGATCTCTTTTTCACGAATTTTTCGCAAAACTCAGACTTTGGGGTTCACTTTTTTATAGATTGAACAAACCACACTTTACTTTCAATCATCGCGCAAGCTTTTATCCGACCGTGTTGTGCAAAGAAGCTGATGAATGTAGTTTGTCCGGTAGGATGTCAGCTTCACCCGCTTTGTTGGGTTTTAAACGAAGAGTCGCTAATCGCATTTCGTCATAGTCGGGTAATGAAACATTTTTACATTCACAGTGTAGCTTGCGGCAGTACGTAGAGCGTTTGAGATGTCGTTCCACAATTCCCTTATATTGAGTTGTTGGTGAATGTTCTTAGAAAGCAGGTGGGCAAATCGGGTAGAAAATCGTTCGGCTAACTATTGTGATTGCCGCCTATCGATGTAGAACCTTCTACAAGACAGTGTTGGGAGACCATGTTGGATACTCGAAGTGTACGCACGTACACTTGAAGAACTTTCTTATGCTGAAATATAAAAATTCGCACTTCCGGCCTCGGCGAAGTCGATTAGCCTCAACCTATTTGGGGATGTTTTGTTGTCAAAACTGATTTTTCCAACGGTCTGAAGATAGATTCTTTGCTCATCCTGGCATTAAAATCGCCAAGCAGAATATCGTGATGGACCCAGCGCTTACAACATGCGTCAATTAGGTTCAAATACCTAAAATAAAATGGTTCACAGTGAGCTATTTCCTAACATTATTTACCTGATAGAAATTTGTTTATTTCTAAGAAATTCTTCCAACACATATCTGAAGTATTTTTAATGAGGTAAACAACAAACATTAATTTCTTAAGGGAGTTATGCACTTTTTATTGCCATTTTTAACGAAAATCTATTGCAGCAGTTTCTCAAACACAGGAATTCATTTGCTCATATTCAACAGCAGTGCCAGCAAGCTATAGGCATTATTCATTGTCTGTTTAGCAATAAAAATAAATTATTAATATGACTCAGCAATTATATTAAATCATACATATGTGTTTGTTTGTTTGTGTCGATGTTTATAATACCTTTGTAAAAACAGGCAGACCCACCATGAAGAAGTTGCCCGCCTTAATGCAGATAGGCTTTTTCAGCAATTCCATATAGAGATACATTTGCTTACGCGTTGCCGGTGAAAACCCCTCCCAGTTGCTGCTGTACACACACGTCATCAGTGCATCCGAATTTATGGTAATCTCATTGGCAAAGTAACATGGCAGGAATATTTGCAACGTCAGTACACTGGCAAATTGCAACATGGCTAAAAATTGGCCTGGATTCTCGTTGATTTGCATCTGCAAGGCAAGGCACAAGTAAAGCCAAGGAGCGGGAGGAGATTCAACAAGGAGGCCAGATTTCAAAGCAAACTTACTGCGCAATATTGCGTTTCGAAGAGACACACACAGACACAGAGCGAGGCAAAGGCTCTGTGTATACAGGTTATGGTGATACTTACATTTTGTAGGCGATAGGCGCTAAGGCATAAAATGAAGGCGCTGAGTAGAATTTGCACAAGAATGGGTAAGGATACCAACGACTCACATTGCACCGTCAACCTGCAATTTCGCACAAAGTACAAATAAGCAAATAAGTTCAAATATGTCAGAGCATTTTACGCAACGAGAAGGCGGTATCAGTGCGCTCAACGCTGCACGTAACCTTGATTAGGTGCTTACTTACCGTTTGACCTTTTTGTGTAATTCGATGATGTTCCTCAGCTTTTGCACGGCAAAAGGTTCGCTCAAATACTGCAATGCAATTAGACGCATGCCAATTAACTTGTACAAAAGCGCCACGTGAAAGAGGTAATAGCACATCATCATGTCCATGGTCACGTTCGCGATGCATGTGAGCGACATGGCCACCAGCTCATAACCGTAGGCATACCAATAATTGCGTGCATTGTGCCATTCGAAGGGTAGCCAATAGTCGTAGGGCAACTCATAGCCGCTCATGAGTAGAGTGGCGCCGAAAGCGGTGAAGAGTACACCAGCGCCACCGCCGATGTAGCAGATCACGATGAGCGTAAAAGTACGCTGCTGTTTACGCCACCAAATGCGCTCCACTTCATTGCACAGCGTAAGACCTGAATCGTGGCTGATTTCTTGCATAAATTGCCATGCGCGTCGTTCCATACGCCAAAAGTTCAGCGTCAACGCCATCATGCCTACTTCGGTTATGGAGATATAGAGTATGTGATCGGCGCGTTCCCAACGCGTTAGCGCTTCAATCCACATGAACGTGTTGTAGGTGAAGGTGAGCGGCAAGTGTAGCAAATAGCGGTAGTAATGCGCCAGCCTCGCTCGACACTGTGTGTGACGTGTCCGCTGTAAACCTGTCTGCGAGATTGGCCAGAGTCCAAGGTATTGCAGCATACGCATTAGTACGCGTGCGGCGCCTATGCGTTCTTGCAACTCTATAGCTGTTGCCATTTGAAGATTTATTTGTCATCTATGGCGGCGCTCAATTTTCGGGCTCGTTTTATAGGAAACACATACATATCGGAATTATGTTGTCGTGTATATACATATGGGCATGAATTGTTCTTAAAATCAAATATTCATTGTATTTAAATGCGAAAGCGTGATTTCGTTAGAATTAATTGGCGCTATGCCGTCTGCGCTTATTGATTTAAAATTTCACTTTTGCGGTCATCAATGGTCAGCATTAGATACACGTGCCGATTATCTTAAGTAACACATATATACATATGTATTTATGTACAATGAGTTGTTTACAGTAATATGATATTTGAAGATAGAAATTTGAATACATTATGTATATATGTACCAAACAATGTTTGTCACCTTCAACTTTTTCTTGCAACTTTGCTACTTTTTAGAAGTCTCATCCAATTTCAATAGGACAAGTCAAACGTTGATCAGTTATAATATATGTACATATAAGACGGAAGGGGTCAGTAAATAATGACAAGAAATGTATTGAAAATATCATATGAGAGAAATAGAAATTTCTTGAAATTTCTTAGATTAATTTTGGTTTATTTACACTAATTAACCCAGATCAGCTAAGGCTAATCAATTAATAAAATCTATACAATAAAAGTTATTGAATTTCTTTCTATATCTGTGAGTAATCTACTACAGGTGTTTCCAATAGACGTTTTTTTTTTAATATTCAAAGAAACTTTTCACTAAAAAGTTCGATGGATTCGTTGTTTGAAAATAAAGTCCAGCCTCATTTTCGAAAAAAGTAAGATCCAATTACCTCACCGGACCAATTGCTTCAAATACTTACCCATTGACGATTTGGTAGCTTTTCGATAATTAATTTTGGGGCTTTCGAGCCGCAGATTCGACAGTTTAGCGAAATGGAAACGCATCTAATTAGTCAATGTGATTTCCCGATGAAATTTTTGCAGTGATTTTGATTAGTTTTAGTCCAGTGTTGAAGCGTGTATCATGTAGCGTATTTAATTTTTAAGATTTTATAAGTTTATTTTGCCCTTATGGCTCAGTAAAGTTTTTTAGTTGAGTTGAGAATGTACGCAAACTCAGTTTTTCAGATTGTTGTTTCTGCCTTACTTGGTCAGAACATGTATTTTTATATTGTTTAATCATTTGTCTGAAGCGGCCAACTAAGGACTGAAGTATGATATTTTACCCATACCGTAAAGAATTGAGCATTGATGCTGAAAACACATTTTTTTTAAATATGAAGTTTTGAATTAATAATAAATTTTGAATTGCAGTTTTTTTTATACACCTATATGTATATACAAATAAATGTTGATCTGGATATAGATCCAATCATAGTTGTTACACAGCTGTGATGAAAATCATCATAACTAACTTAGTGTCTTAGTTCTTTGTGATTTTTTTAAGGCTTTGGACACTGCAAACAATGATATTCTACTATTAAAACTGAGAATTTATATTGTTATATATTATTTTACTTTCAACATACCAGCAATTAGGCTTATGAGAAGCTACTTATCAGACAGATAACAGCAAGTTCAGTGCCGGTATGTAATTTCACACAGCATAAAAATTATCTCAGTAGTTTTGCAGTGCTCTATTTTAGGGCCAAAACTTTTCAGTTTATTTATTGATGACATTATTCGCTGCGGCGAAAACTCTTTCATACATTTACATGCCGATTAAACTCAGATTTGTATTTCAATTTCAATTTATTCAGTCAATGATTTACAAATCTTACAGACCAGAAGTACATATTAATAAAAGACTTAAAACTATGAGTGTATGTTAGGAATAAAAAGCATTAAGGTTAGAGCCCAAACGAGATATCGGGAATGCGAAATCAATATCAAGTCTCCTAGAGATTTTATTAAATCCAGAGAGTAATGGGATCGCAAAGTTCTGTGAGGAACAATGAAGCTGACTTGCTGAAGCAGCTCTGGACAGTCCACTAAGCCATTGATCATGTCATACATAAATAGTAATGACCTGATAGATGGCCGAAGAGCAAGATATTTCAGATTTATTAGCATACATCAAGAAGTATAAGAAGGTAGAGGATCAGAGAAATGGAGCGAAGCAAGAGCGAAACTAATAAACCTACGTTGGACAGTTTGAAGTCTACAAAAATGAGTAGAATAAATTCGATTCCAAATTAAGCTAGCATACTCCAGCTTTGGCCGTAAAAAAGCAAGGTTGGAACAAACTTTAGGAATGATGCAGTTGATGATATTAATGAAGTAAAACCTACATCAAACAATATACCAAGATCCAAAAATTCAAAAGGGGCATATTATTCCGAATGCTCCAATCAGCAAAATTGTTAAGATCCTCCTGTACTAGTGAAGCATCTGAAAAACATCGAATGCAATGAAGTAGTTTTAGGTCGTCTGCGTAAAGCAGGAAGTTTTAGTTCCTAAAGCAAGTTCCAATGTCATTTATAAAAGGAAGAACTAAGAATGGACCAAAGATTTCGTATTATCCAATTCAACAAAAGAGAATATATCGGAGAGACATGATCTAAGCCAAGATAAAAACGAGGAGTGAAAACCTAAGCACTCTAGCTTACGTAATTAAATGCTATGTGGACCAGTATCAAAAACTTTGGAAAAATTGGTATAGACGACATCAACTTGATATCTCTTCTTAAAATATGCAATGTAATAACGAGAAAAACAGGCTAGGATAGTGACAGTAGAACGACCGCTGACAAGCTGACAAAACCATGCTGATGCGTACTAATGGAGCCTTTAAGAGCAAAAAACAATTTATATATTACCATATTCTTGAAAAGTTTCGAACAAGTCGATAGGCTAGATATAGACCCATAATTTTTGACGTCATTTTTGATGCCAGGCGGAGAGATGGAAGCACTTTTCTAACAACTAATAAAAACACCAGACGACAAAGAAAGATTAAAAATGTATTTTAAAGGCGCGGAAACAGACGAACTGCATCTTATAAGTACATAAGAAGAAAGCCCGTCCAAATCGCTACTCAAGGAGAGCTGCAAAGCAGCAATCCCATTCAAAACATCCAATTCAGTGACTAAAAGACTACCGAAATCTAAAGTCTGCGAAATTTCCAGGTCACCATAGACGAAAGTGTTAACATTCCCACTATACTTGGATTTGAAAGATTCGAGATTTACGCTATCCAAAGTGCTTTCAGAACTCCACCCACACTACGACAAGCAAGCGGGAATATTGGAAAAACATTTTTCTTTTTTAAATCGGAAAATATTATATATTATATTATCGTGCACGTTACGTCTTCATAATGAGTAGATTTAACATTATTTAGGTGATGGTTACTGACCTTAAATAAATTATAAAATTTGTTTCTAAGATTTTTTAACTTTTCTAAACGCTTCGTATACCACGGAAGCTTATGTAAACGTAAACGAAAAAAAGAATATGAAAGGATATGAAAGTTTCATAGCACTCTGTCACATCACATGCCCAGTCGATTTCCAGAACACCTGCATTGAAAGCGGAAAAATTGGCGTTGTGAAAATTATAACGGTTTAATAGTATTTGTGTCTAAAACGGAGATAAAATTAGGAAACTTTACGTAAAGCACTTACTATAATTTCAAATATTAAATTTTCAGCTACAAAAATAAGATCTAGGATATTATTAAATTTATTCGAAAAAGAATTATTTTGAATTAGACTTCCACTATATACGTGTATGCTGTCGATAAATTTAATTTCATGATATTTATATATATTTATAACTTTAGTTAACAAAATATTTTGAGTTTTTGGGCTTAAATGGTTCGATTAGGTTTTATTTAAAGTCAATTTTCAAAATATTGAAAGCTTTTAGTCATGCTCAAAATTACTTATTTTTTCCATAAATAAAGCCATAAAGACTGAGCACAACCCACAATGATGGAGGTGATCAAAGAGTGATGAAGCTTTTTCTAATATTATGGGACTAGAAAGCGATTTTCGGCCGATCTCCTCCTTCAATTTGTGGTTTTACGTCTTGATGGTTTTTTAAACAAATGGAGGGGCTACAGTTTATGCTAAGCCTCCCCCGAACGGCTGATGTTTTTTTATGAGGAGATTTATTCCTTGTCAGAAATACACACGAAGGGATTGACATTGCCTGCTGAGGGGCGATCGCAAATAGAAAATTTTAGCTTAATTTGTTATGTAAATTAATTTTCCATTATTTTTTGGATGTTTTATTACGACACCATAATTTGAATCCGATCATTCGGAATGGCAGTACGCAATGCGTCCTTCAGTCATTTCCGTTAATGTCGTATAGTTCATGGCTCCATCAGCTGCGAAATTCGCCTTCAAAGGACTGTAAACCGTTTGCAAAACCTTTCTCTCCAAAAATCCAAATGACTCATCAGATATGGTCAGCATGCTGTTCGTCGAGAGTGAACGAACAGTGACGTGGGAGTTGAGTCGCTAATGCTGTTTGATGACAGGAGATTTTTCTCCTTATCTTCGTACTGCACCAGACCCATAGGATTCTCTTGCTTATGTGGACTGGAGAAAGTGGAACTAACTATTTGAGGCCGATGAAATAAATATGATCAGAGTGTGTCAGGAGTTGTGTGCTGTTATTAAGATAATTTATAAGATCTCACCTTCTCTTTATAGCTCTGCAACCCGTCAATGAATTAAGGAAGGCTTTGGCTTCACTTTGCTTGATATCTCCAATGTCATATCATCAACTATCAGGAAGAATAGTCATATTCTATTTAAGTACCATAAGCAGAAGATCAAAGATCAAAATTTGAAAATGTAAAATTCCTCGCTTAAATAAGCAAATCCTTCACGAAAAGTTCTCCAAGACCGACATAGCGCGATTTCAAATATGCATTCAATAAAATAATTTTTCATACTTCGAAAACTGAATTAAAGGAAATTGAAGCATTGAAAAAAGATGCAGGGAAAAGGTTTTCTTTTTAGTATTCTTCGAAAAAGAGCATTTTGCAAATTACAACAACTCTTAAATTCGTTTAAATCACAGCTTTTAATGTTGATTTAAAAATACAAAGCAACAAATAATAAAGAAAAATATTTGCGTTAAAAACACACAAAAATCATGGAAATCCAATTAAAGTCATTAACTATTTTAATTGACAATTAACATAATTTTCAGTTTTAATGAATTGCGTACGGTGATGTAGGCTAGTGTTTGTGTTAAGTCGCCGTAAATTGGCTTATGTGTGGAGAGTAATCGTATACATTTTTGTAAGCCTAGTTGCGTGTGAGTACATACATATACACGTATATACTCGTACGTATGTACATATATAGGCATTTACACTTGTGCTGGATTTGCTTGTTATGGGCGGTTTGTTTAATATGACTGCTTTTAAAAATGTAAACGGACGACAAAATCACAATTTTCATATAATTAGCTCGATAATAACAACTGAATTTTTAATGAAACTTCGTCGTTCTACACAGACATACGAATATAAGTGTGTAAATATGTGTTAGTATATAAATATACATATATTTGTAGTCCAAAGTTATAATACAGTTTTATTATTTTTCACATTTGATGCACAACTCTTTAACGAAACGGGTAAAACATTGTTTATGTTGCATCAATCGCTGTTCTTAAAATAACAGAAGAACACCGTTAAACATGGACTCATATTTCTCAATTATAGATAATATTGTATTTACGGTATACTTTTCAACATAGTTCTTTTTATTTAAAAAAAAAGAAAACATAATTTTTAATAATAAAACTTTAATTTCTATTTATAGCTGGCGCATTCTGGTCAAACACTGGCCCTTCATCTCACAACCGCTGGCTTTGGCTGCAGTTTTCATCGCTTTGTGGGTACTCGGTTATGTGCTGCTGCCTGATTATGCGCTGCCGAATACGCCAATTATGCGCATATTCTTCCTCTTTGTGGGCGCCCAGCTGACTGGCGTTTTGGTGACCTTTATCGCTTTGCCCGATATGTTGGGCATGCTCTTCTTTGGTGTACTCTATACAAATGTCGGATTGGCCGATTTTACGGGTTATAATAAATTTGAGGCATTTTTGAGGTGAGTGCATTGAACTCTCATACTACGTTTCTATACTAAACAATTGTGCGTCGATTTCTTTACTTGCAGGGAAATGGCTCTCATCAATATTATGCTGCTCGCCGGTCTGGGTCTCGATGCGAGTGCTTTTAAGAAGTTGTGGTTTATGATTTTACGCCTAACATTAGTACCGACGATTGCTGAGGTCACAATTATTGCTATGATTGCAAGATTCACACTAGATATGCCATGGTTTTGGGGTATTTTATTGGGGTGAGTTTGTTAAAACTTTTAACTTGAATCAGATACGATTTAATTAAAAAAATTTTATTATTCTCTGTAAATGAAAAATCTATTAGTACGTTTTTCAGCCAATCTGGTATAATTATGCGTCAGCTTCTATAATTTTTCTGTAAAATATGTATTTTTTTTTGGCTCGAATCAGTTTGAGAGCTGCGTTCGCCAGTTCGATGCTTTGAAATATTTCAAAAGTTGAATTTTATAAGGATCAACAAAGAAACGGTTATAGTATAAAGAGAAGACTTTTACGTACGAACGATTTTGGTTTATGTCCAGGCAAATCCAGTAGAAAATTATTTTCATATCGAGCCTTGCTCGTGTTTGTTGACAACCGTTGTTTGCTTCACAGAGGTGGTTGCGTATTTTTGCTGAAACTGTAGAGTAGTTCGAGTCAATATTAGATCCTCAAAGCGGGCATACATCGCTTTGGTTGAGAATTTTTCGTTTCTTAGGCAGCCAAAAAGCTTGATAAGGGTTCTCGTTCTTGGAACTAGTACTTAGGCCCCAGCCAAATTGATAAGCCTCAACTCTTTGAGGGGGTTTTCATCATGGGCGCTGAATTTTCTGACCTTTGCACCGAATGTGATTCTTTATTCATCCTGGCGTTAAGTAGTTGTACATAATTTTGTCAAAGTGGTGGTCATAAGCGCACTCCAGACGCTCGTGAAAGGCATCTTTGGTCACGTTTCCGTCGTTCTCTCGACCATCCCGATTCTTTTACGGAGACGATGTCAGCCTTTGGTTAAATGAGGACAACAACCAGCAGCGGCACCTTTCCATTAACTTAGCTGACATCTGTAGTGGCTGTAATTAGATGTAGCGTCTCATGTCTGAGGCGTTGCTAGCATGACTGTTGACAAGCCCATCCCTGTGCGGGTCCGGGAAGAGAATGCACCCACGGCAAGGCCGTAAAATGTGACTAATATCCTTTCTACCAATCCAGGGCTGTATGGAAGCGCAGCTGGTAGTCACCCCGGTTACAAGGTCTGACCTGGTACCACGGGGAACAGGAACCCTCGGAGCTTGCTCCGACCTGTTCATTGCGGCAAGGCCCTGCATGGAGTCTCGTGGTGGCTATGGTTTTAACCCAAATGTGGGAAGAGTTGGTGTAGCATTGCTGCTTTGAAGCGAATACGTCGAAGTGAAACTTCTTCTATTTTAGCCGTGACTTAAGGCAGCACGGCGTTTGCTTGCCACAACGTGCAGAAAAGTTGCTAATGTTTCCAAGTTTGAAATGTTTTCTAAATCAAAATAAAGATCTGTACTTTGTAATTAAGTATTCCTCAAAAACTCCGATTGACAACTCATCGGAAGTCGTTGTCAATCCAGCTTCTGTACCGTAAATTAAGGCAAGAATTATGAGTAATAATTAGAGTTCTTTTGTTTGTTTTCGGGAGCATGCGTTGCTTTTTAATTGGCTGCTTAGGCTGTACGCGATAGTAATCTTACGTTCTGTACCCTCTCCATTTAGCCCTGAAGCTTTTGTTATTTTTTGAGCATTAAAAAACGAAGTCCCACGATAAAAATCACTCTTTCTGAAACTGCTTTGGTGCCGCAAGGTTTGCAAAAATTCTTCATAGTTCAGGCGGTGTTGCTTGTGGTGCTCAGAGAGAGCTAACATAGCAATACATGAATATATAAAGGCCGCTTCAAAGCCAAAGAAGAGGTGATCAATAGAAAATATTACCAAGGCTTTATCGATAATTTTCACATTAATCAGAAAAAATTTCAATCGATTGGAAATATATATATTATCCTTTATTGGAAATATTATTCTTTAAGCCGGTATCAAAATAAAATTTTTTTCATTTCTACCCGAAACGAAATGCTGTCGCTTATGTTAAATCGTTAACAGATATTCTTAAATGTTAAAATTGAAGTGCGCTGTTAATATCATAGCAAGCAGTCAGTTACAATTTAACATTAACAGTCCTATTCTCACAGCTGAAAGTGAGTTTGGTATTCTGGCAAACTGGTTACAATTTTTAGAAAAACTTTGACATTACTGCTTTCTTCGTCCATGTCAAATAACATTTGCAAGTTGGTGAAGTAAAAAGAAAAATATTCATTTGTATATTTACTTTTCATTTGTGGTTGGGAAGCAAATTTTCTCGGCTTTCATTTTAACAATCAAATTTGAAATTTGATCGCAAACCAGAAGGTTGGCTAATTACAGTTAAACAATTGTTTCCAACGAAGTCCTGATACGACCCGGAGGAAAAGACATATAGTGTTAAGAGAAACCTCTAATAAAGCGACAACGATGTCTTCTATCTAAAAAAATTCTTAAAAATTACTTTTGAAAATTAGCAACTACCTCCTTGTCATATGGTGCCAATTCGTTTATAAGAATGACAAAAATACTGAATCACGAATTAAAATGGGCATGTGTTTCTCGCAAACTTCTTAACTTGCGTCTTGTTTCCCTTTTTTCTTCATCTTCAATTAATTAATAAATTATAGACGTAAAAAATGTTTATCCTTATGGTTTTTTACTTTTTCACAAATTAACAACACAAAATCGAACAGCTGATTGTTTGTTACCTCCTATTTCGCTGGTAACAAAACTTACAGAGTGACAGTTAGCTCAGAATACGGAATAGTAACAAAATTTACACAATGGTAAATTTTAATACCATAGTAAAGTTTGTTAGCTCGACAGAATAGGCCTGTAACAATGAATTTGTACGTCTTCAACATTATACGAGTATTTATATATGAAAAATAAGCAACAGATATCGGTGGTCAACATGGTGCTCTGATGATCTCTGATTGGGATTAAGTTTTCAAAGAATTTCGGAACATCTTCTCAAGCTTTTTAAAATTTTTCTAATGAATGCCTCAAATTACAATAATATTTTTTCCTTTGCTGAATAATAATGAAACCAAGGTCGTTTTGAAAGTGTCTTCTATTATATTTTCTGCAATTTTAAATTATTTTATTTTCTTAACCAACCAATAGAGTAGTAAAATAGTTGTATGTATTAAAACTAAGTATTTTATTTAACTTATGAAAATGCATGCCAAATATCAAAGTAGTTTTCCGAGTTTCACTAAATATATTTAACGCCTTATAAACTTAAATAACTTATTTCCCATTAATGACATGAAATTACAAAGAATTTTCTTTTAATCTCACTTCTGACAGCCTTGTCGTCACCGCCGTCTCCCCGAACGTTGTCGTTACGGTCATGCTGAAATTGAAAGAGGAGCGACTGGGCTTGAATAGCGGCATACACACATTAATATATGCCATGACCAGCTGCAATGATGTCGTTGCCATTTTTCTCTTCGGCGTCATTCTGAGCGTCATCTTCTCCACGGGTTAGTAAATGGCGGGTATTAATTATACTTACAACAAAGTTTTACACTGTAAAATTGAGTTTAATATGCTGTTTTAAATGCGCTCTTTCTATGTATCAATGTAGATAAATCGCTGACGCAACAAATTTTGCAAGGACCCATCGGTATCGGTATTGGCATTGTTTTTGGTTACGTTTATGGACTGATGCTGACTATATTGCCATCAACGAAGACGGTATGAAGAAGTTTCATAATTATTAAAATTTAAAATATATGTATGTATGTATGTACGAAAAATAATACCATATATATGGGCTTCGATATCCTAATTTCATTTTAGAAAACTTCCAAAATATTTTGGAAAAAGTTCATTTGGCTTTCTGAAATTATAACATGTTTTTTTGGTGAATTTTTTTATACTCTTATATAGTTTTTTGTGCTACCTTTTAAACTATGATTGGATTTGCCGAGCTCAATCTTAATTATGAAGGACGTAAGGATTGTCGTGCAAATGGTTTATTCCGTACGTTTCTTTGTGTCTAAACTGCTCCTCGTAAAGGCTTAAATTATTTATACTCCCTGTGGGTGTGTGCGTGCTCAAGAGAACTAGGAAAAAGTTAATTTACAATTGAGCAGAGTTGCCACCTGTTTTGAACTTGTCTATATATATTCATTTCTGATGAAAGTATGTTTTGCTTTGAAACTAGCACATTATATCCCGCCCGTCTTGATATTTAAATTTGAAAAACGGGTTAAAATAAATAGACATTACATTATCGGTATCAAACTTCAGCGGCGTTGCCATCTTTTTTATAATTTTAAAAGAATTAAAGTAATGTCAGTAATTTTTTACTCTATGGGTATCAACATCAATACACATAAGGATATTGATGGTGAAATTTTTTTTGGAGAGTTGCCACCTGTTTGAAATATTTAATATTGATAAATTAGAACGTTATATTGAGAATGTCAAACTAAAGGTTGTTAATAAAATTAAATTTGAGGGACTCAACCTTTTGAAATTTTAAAATATATTAAAATTGTAAATAATTCATATATGTATCAAGCTTAATATAAATATATAAATGTAGATAGGAAAGACTGCTTGCAAAAACATTATTCAACTTTATAAATCGAACTGATATTAATAATTAAAGTTAAAAATAACGATATCTAAATAGAGAGCTTTTAAAAATTTTAGTGAGGAAGGTAGAAGGATTGCCTATACATACCCAAAAGTTTCCAAATGCAGAGGTAAAAAAAAAAAATTCTCTCATTGCTTTGGTTGATTGCAACACAAAGAAAAATCATTCAAGGTGGAACCTATGAGAAATTGTTAATAATGGAAAAAAAATATCAGTCAATGACCACAACGACCGTATTCTGTTTACTTAATTTTCCATGACCAAATCTTAAAGTTGCTACTGTATGCTCGCAATAGCTTCACGTATTACATCTTTGAGGTCTTGAAATGACGAAGTTGGTCTGTTGTCGTAGACTTTATCTTCCACGAGGCGCCAGAGAAAGAAGTCGCAAGGTGTTAAATCACAAAATCTCGGTAGCGATCACCTCTTCGAAGCTCAGGATTTTTTTTTAAGATCGATGTTTCTTTACTTGTTGAAAGTAAACGCTGTCCAGATCTATAATTCTGGCCATAAGAAACCTTTAATCATCTTCCGCTAGCGCAATCCATTTAAAACAATAAATTTGAGTAAATGTTTTGTTTATTGACAGTAGATTGACAGAGCCATCGAGATGTAAATGGGCATCATTACTCAAAATGATTTTTCAATGAAAGTCTAGATCATTTTCACGCATTCCAAGGACCCGAACAGGAAGGACACGACGTTGTTGATGATCGGATGGGTTAAGTTCTTATGTGAACTGAGCTTTATAAGCTTTAAAACATAAGTTTTTATAAGAAAACACGGTGTAATGACATTTGTGGAGTGCCCGATTCCAAAGAACGGCTGGGAGCTGCCAATCCAGGGTTTTCTGAACACCTTGGGCTTTAGTGACAATATCCTCCGCTTTTTGAATTTAATTAAAGTTTTCCCTTAAAATACATATTTACGCTGCTCCAGAATGCAATTGGAAAAGGTATCGCATAAAAATAGCGCTTAAATTCCCAATAAAGACAATTTTTAACGTTCTCTTGAGTGCTGAGAAAAGATAGAGTCGAAAGATTATTTTTGAAATATATTAGCATACTTTTCGGCGCACCCACATACACACATGCAAGAAGACTAGCTAACAACTAATGCTATTACAGATACAAACATACACTCACGCTGCTGCTCACAACTGTCTTGCAACCGGGTCATTGTAGTATCTCAAAATTACTGCATTTTATCGTTCATAAAGCACATCACCAGCGAGCGGCAGTGGCAATCTTCGTCGCCACAATTGCGATATTATAGTGTTCGTGGTAAGTGCACTGGCGATGGCAACAACAATGAAGAGACAGTTACTTATACGTAAAGCTATATTGGCTGCCATTGTCCTTCCCATCATTATTTTGGAAATCATCAAGGGCGTCACATATCTATTTTCTTTTCGCACACACACACACACACACACACACACGCAGCCACCTACAAGCGCTGTGAATTTTTCCGCCAACAGCCATTTGCTGCAACTTACGCCGTTAATGGCGCACATAATCAAACGTTGCTACGTCACACGTACTCGAGCGCCACCGCTACCGCCACCGCCACCGTCAACATCACGCGCCTTATTATTACTTTATTTCTCTGTTCACAGTAGTTGCTTCCATTTTCGCACTCAAGTAGTTTGAAGATGACTACAATTTTGGTGGAGTACATTTATTGTTGCAGCTACCGCTCTACGCTATTGCATACTTCAGTGGATGGGTGTGCGCTAGAAATAAAGGGTAATATTGGAGAGTTCTGGTCACCAGCTGGATACCAAGGTGCGAATGGTAACCCCTAATGAGAATAGTGATGGCGGTGGAGATGTGCTCTCAGTGCCGATATACATGCCAATAAACTCTATGGTCACAGGAGCCCCTTTTAATGTGAACACAGCGGACTAATTGAAGCATTTTAAGCAAATGCTTTGCGTCGACAAAGGATGAACAAGGCAAGGAAAATTGGAAAAAGTCCTTTACATTTAGCAACCGAGCGATTGCATCAGATTTGTTTTGGAAACGTCAATTCAATGCAATTTTTGCCATGGATCGCGGTGACATCGAAAAAAAGTCGTTTCATTGTGTTAACTCAACGTGCATATGGGAAAAACGTCCGCTATGAAAAAGAGGCGATATTGACTGGCTACCCAGATCACCTGATTCAGCACCCCCGGACTTCTTTTGTGGATTTATCTAAAAATCAAGCCACAGCCAACCAGCCTCATAATATTGATGAGCTCAAGGCAAACATTCGTGCGGAAATCGACGCTGTAACACCCGAGATGCTCGAATGTATAATGCCAAACGCAGAAAAAGCTAGTCGTTTTGTCACTTGCCACTTGATTAATATTGTTTTCAAAAACTAGTCCAAAAGAAACACATCAATTATAGAAATCGGTTGTTTTTCTTCAAAGTTATTTAATGTTTACATACCGACGTAAAAGATGGAGCACCCGGTATCTCTTTGTTGTTAGGCCGTTTAGGTTGATTGATAAAAAAGGTATTACATTCTAAAGTACCTCAACCTTACATTAATGTAATTGTCTCAGTGCTGTGCGCCTATGGTAGGCAAACTTTGGCAACTTGGCCTCTCGAAGTGGGAACCCTCGTCACGAGCAAGTTTTTTTCCGTCAAATACTTATATGTTCAGTGGGTGCTAGAAGTAGTTTTCACACAGTCCTTGGAATTATGAATATCAAGTTCTGGACAGATGACTCCGGGAAGTAAATCAGAAATATCAATCCGAATGCTCTTTTTTAAATGTCAACGCCTCCGAGTGTATTTCTGACATGGAATAAAGCTCCTCATAAAAAAACCATCAGCCGTTCGGAAGCGGCTTGGTATAAACTGTAGATCCCTCCATTTGTTGGGAAAACGTCAGGACGTAAAACCACAAATTGAATGAGGTGCTCGGCCGAAAATCGCTTAAGCGGTTACAAAGTTCATTAGTATATATATGTATATATATATATGCAGGGCTTCTTTTGATTTCTTCTACATTTTTTTTAAACTAGATTATATCCGGTTAGCATTATACTGCCATTTGGAAGGCAAGGGTTTGAGTCCTTGTTCGACCAACATCCAAATATTGGTTTTCTAATTGCGGTGCCGAGAGGATCAAGATTCCTGGTTTCTCGAAATACGGCGAGAAAATCTACTGGCTTAAGCCTCTTTGAATTCTACAAACATCTGAAAATATTTATTTTTTCCCGGGCAGTTGAGGGTATTTTCGATACACGACACTTACTCAGACATATTTTCTTGTTTAATTTTGAAATTATTTGAAATTTCGATTTATCAATTGATTTATTGAAAAACTGTTGTTGTTTAAAAATGTGTTATTTTCTCTAGTTATTTTGAAAGTTATATTCTTCTAAATCACCCTATATCATTGTAAAGAAAAGCTGCAATTCAAAAAAAAAAAAAAAAAAAGAAAAACAAAAAAATATTAAAGCTCCGAAATTATGACCATAACATTTTCATACGCAGCATGCATGCATACTCCCTTCTGTATGTGTGTATGTATATAATCATACACATAGACACCTCAACAAATCCGGCATCATGTAGCACCAAAAGTTGGAATCTTCTTACGCTTTTAGGTTGAGCGCATTTTCATTTTTTAATATTTTTTATATCATACTTTCCGCAGTAACAACAAAGTTAGTATGCAGTAGTGTCAGTGATTTTTATTACAATGTGAGGTTGTAATTTAAACACATAACTCGTTGAAAGAAGTTTGCTGGTGCCACGGCCAAGTTAAAAACCCATGCAGTGTGTTGAAAGCGATCACTGCATTTTCAAGTTCCTACTGTTTCTTTTTTTTTTTGCTTTTTTTTTCTTTGAGTTTTTGTGTGCGCTTTCCTTTTCACCAATTTCACACCGCTTAAACTACACATGCACATGACAGGTGGCGAACAGAGCGCAGCAGCGGTTGTGGCATTAATAGGGAAATATATTTTTACGCAGGCAATGGAAAGGATAATGGGAAATTAAGTTGATATTATAAAGATAAGAATGCGTTCAAGGACGCTTGTAATGAGAGTTAATGTCTTTGAAGCAGTGATATTAGATTTTACTTATGAAAGTAATAACAAGAAACGAAAATGAAATTATTGTACTTAAAATGACAATTTTTTGGCATTATTTTAACTTATTTTCGAAGTGATAGTGTATAAAAAGCTTTAAAAGCAAAATGAAACCGACGAAAAATTTAAAACTAAAAAGTAAAAATATTTTTTTTATTTAGTCTAAATGAACAATTTCTTAAACTAACGTTAGTGTACCTAAAAAATTTTTAGTCGGCGCTGCAGACAACAATTTTATTATGCGCGGCGTCAATTCGACGTGATATGACTCTACGCCTGAAAATGTCCAACATTCACGAAGTTAAGCGAGAGAGTAACCTTACTTGAAGTAGGGGTGAGCCAAGGAGGGGAATATTTCATACACACCTCCTAGAGCTCATAATTTTATAGATTACTCATATGTGAGGCTTATCAGAACAGAATATAATTTTTGCCATAATTCTCAATATATGCTTTTTAACTGTGCTTGTGACAGAGGTTTTTGTTGTTGTTGTGGTTGTAGCCGCAAAAATATTCCCCATAGTAATTTTTGAATGAATGCTGCGGTGGTTACAATTCTTGGCCCGGATAATTGTGTGGGTCTCTCCAACTGATAACTGAGAAAATAATTAAAAAATAGTTTTTGACGCAGAGTCAGTTGGTTTCATTAAGCAAGCTGTTGATTGGATAGACTGTATTAGGGTAGTAAAAAGAAATTGTATGAAATCGCAAGCTTCAATTTTTACTTTTCGTATTCAGCTTTATTCAAATGGTTCAAAGTGTTTTTTTGCTTGTGCAATCTTTAGCTCTACTTGACAATGCTCATGGAGCATCTTTTACATCAAAATTACCGGATTGAAACCGAAATTGTGCATGATTGACTGTAACGGCATTAGGACCATAGACGCTATTCACATTTGCAGTCGCCTGGTTCTCTTTGTTTGTGTCTCTTTTTGAGTCACCCTCAAACAAAACTGAATCAACTCATCAAAAAATTGTCCGAAAAGCATTTTAGTGCGAAATGTCATCTTTCTAACGCCATCTAGCGGAACCCGAACGGAATTATACACCGCGAGAAACGAATAAATAACGCCATCTATTGGAAAAACAATGGATTTCTTTGTAACACACCTAACGTATCCACTTTTATTATTATTTTGGGCCATGATACGATTTTTATTTACCACTGTCTCAGAAACAGATAATCGAATTAATAAGTGATATATAATATGTATACCTTTTGTTGCTTAAAATATCCACAAAAACTCAAAAGCCTCTAATTTACTGTTGTTGCGACTTTCTAACTCCGCATCGAAGCAGGCGAAGCTAAGTTATCTAAATCATCGAGATTATCTAATGAAAGCCCCAGGAAAGAGTCTGAAGGAGAGCGGTGTTAGATTAGGAGATTTTGAGGAGCAACCAAAGAGGTAGTAGGATATGGGCCTGGTAGTGAGCGATGGCAAGGCGAAATATCTCTTGCCATTTGCTACGGACTTTTCCATCTTTTTGCTACAACAAATTTATTTTGATTTATTGGTATTATAAAATCGTTTGTATGTATAAAATTTCTACAAAATCTCTAATAAATTTTTACAACAATAATTTTTTTCTTCGTATGAGCTGTGGAGCTGAAAACCATTTACTAGCTCCATTTCCGGTTAGGTGAGAGCCCTCAGTGGAGTACAAATAAGTGTTCATGAGGTGAAAGCCCTTAGGGACACTATGTTTTCCGGTGGTGATGATCCCACGGGCAAGTATACTTATCGACGGCACACGGGCTACAGTCATCGCATTCTCGACTCGGCTCCCACGTCATTGTAGACAGTCATAACTTTGAAGTCGTAGATAATTTCGTCTATCTAGGAACCAATACTAACACCAACCAGAATGTCAGCCTGAAAATTCAACGCAGATTCTTTCTTGCCAACAGATGCTACTTTGGGCTGTGTAGGCAAATAATGTTGTGGAGGCATGGATGATGACAACATCTGATGAGTCGGCTCTTGGAGTTTTAGAGGGAAAGGTTTTCCGTAATATTTACGGTCCTCTTCGAAATGGGAACGGCGAATACCGCTGCCGATGGATCGAGGAATTACAAAGATTATAAGTCTCTAAATAATTTGGTAGTGATAAGCTCATAAATGTGCTTGGAAATATCGTTGGTGTGTAGCAGTGTGTTTTCTTCTGAACGAAACAAAAAAAAATAATAAGAAAAGATTTCAACGGCTGAGAGAATGAAAAATCCTTCCCCGTTCATCGCTACCATGGACATAAAAATCGTCATTCGGAATAAATTAAAGGGCGCCTACATTCGAAGAAGATGTTTACTGAAATAGGCCCCACAAGGCTTGATCTATGCTTGTATTCACTTTTTGGCAGAAAAGAGTTTTCAGGTTAATTTAAGTAAGAACCTTGAACCTGCTGGCTCTGTTTCTTTTTCCAGAAAGCAATCGATTTAAGCCATTACTGTGTCCACTTGAACATACACACCAAAAAAGTTTATCAAAATCGGTTCAATCGATTTCAAAAAGTTTATAAAAACTTAATCACTTTTGTTCCAGAAAAATTAGTGGAATGAAATGAAATTCGAGTAGAAAATAATTAATTTTGACCAAATCTTCATTATATATTTTAAATTTTGTATTTTATAAAAACAAAGAATTTTTAAGTGATCTGAAATCACCCATTTTTGTAACAAAATGTCAAATTTAAATATTTTCAATCAACAAAAATAATACGAAACATGCCGGAATATACATAAGAAATTCCTCAGAATTGGGAATTAATAAATAAATATCTAACAATTTTAGTTGCACCCAAATATCCAATAGTGCATAACAAATTTTCTTACTTTTTCTTTCTCTCTATACAGGCTTACTTAAATGGATTGCGCTTTGTTTTGACCGTCTTGGGTGGCACCATATCGGTGATGGGCAGTCGCACCATTGGCTACCCCTCAGCTGGAGCGCTGGGCTGTATGACGATTGCATTTTTTGCCGGCATCGGCTGGAAAGGTCAGCAACAGCACCTCACACCACAACAACTTCAACGTCAGTTGGAAAATGAAAATGTAAGTTTTTACGGCTCTACTCAGGCAAATTTCCTAATCTCACATAAAAAAAAGTAGTGCACAAAGAAAAAAAAAATGGACATATATAGCCGTATATACATTTGCATGTGCAAACACTTTTTGCACGGAGAAAAACTTTGAAAATCCAAATACACACAAACACATCCATAGATGGGAGGATAAATTGGAATTGTAGGCTTAAAATCACACAGAGCTCTTTTCCATCTGACATCCATATTGACTTTTGGTTAAGTTAAGTGGAAGGCTTTTCCGTAGCACTGTGCTTTCTAAAGTCAATTTTATTTTGGTACTATTTATGTATTTGTGTGTGCATGTGTATGTGTGTGTGTGTGTTTATGCATGCCTACGCGTCCATTTGGAAAAGAGATTTTGTGAAATGACAAGTAATTCTGTTGTTTCTACAACTGTTACTCTTTACAATTTGCATGTTAGCAATGTGTATGTGTATATGTATATGTGCTTGTATATGTATATGCATGTGTGCAAGCATATGTGCATATGTGTGAAGGTACTATTGAAAGAAGTTTAATTTTTTACTCACTATTGCCCATAAAACTTTTTGTTTTTAAATTCGCAGCGACTTTCCAATTTGTAGCATTGCAATGGAAATAATAAAGGGTGATTTTTTATGGTAGTTATTATCTTTTTGGCAACACTGGTTTAAACAGCTTCGTGTTTGGTCTATAGTTTAACCATGGATCGTCTTACAATGAACAACGCTTGCAAATTATTGAATTTAATTATCAAAATGCTTGCCCTGCTAAGAAAGTTAAAAAAAATATATATTTGCAACGAAGCGCATTTTTGGCTTAATGGGTGCGTAAGCAAGCAGAAATATCGATTTTGGAGTGACGCTCAGCCAGAAGCATTGCATGAGCTACCAATGCATCCAGAATGCATGAACAGTGAGCTCTACTCTGAGGTTTTAATGAGATGGTGTCACATGCCACAGGGCGCGTAACAATGAACTTATTGAGAGACGGGTTCGACGAACATTTTATTTCACGTTCGAGACCGGTCAATTGGCTATTTTTTGTGTGGCTATAAGAAATCTTGTGTCTATACAGCCAAGCCCGCTTCAATTGACGCATTGGAGGTCAACATTAAAGCATTTGTTCGTGAGCTACCTTCCGAAATGTTGGAAAGAGTACCCCAACACGGCCAACATTTGCATGAAAAAATTTTTCGAAAATGAAATTATATGGACCGTAATATCGATTCAAATAAAGATTTCTTGCATTTTTCTGAATTTTATGCGCTGTTTTGAAAAACTTTCCTAAACAACTTAAACAATCACCCTTTACTTTAGTTTTCTCTTTGGTCGGAAACAGCGGACATTTTTTAAATCTGAACTTCTAGTTCTAAATATGCTATGTACTTGCATATGAGGTACAGTAATATGTAAAAAGAGTCTTTGCTACCGAAATCAAATTTGCGTAATTAACTAGTTGTGAGTAACGGGGTGCAGTCATGCTTATGAGTATGCAGGTACAAGGCTATTCAAATACTGTTCTCTCAACTTCGTATCAAGTACTGGAAATGTTGACAATCTTGTGTCAGGGATAAAAAGATGGAAATGGGAGTTTCATGGGATCACTACAATAGTACCTGATTTAAGAATTTATTTCGTATAGCCTGTCTTAATCCCATGCTGGAGAGCAGGAGCGCTGGATGAAATGCTCCGACTGGCTGTCCCTAGAAATAGTAGAAAAGCCTTTCCACCTTGTTTTGAAGGCTAAACTGTAAATTAGACGAGCGATGCTTTTTACATAATATATACACCCGTTGGTACTTATGAGAGCTCAGCTTCGGCTACGGTAGAGAATAAGATTTTAGAGATTCCATCACGCTTCTAGGCGAGCCTCTTTTGTCTAACCGAAATCAACCAAAAGATGGGAGAATCTCAACAGAAAGTCTGGCAAATGAAGAGCATCGTAAAAGGATCAGTAAAGGCTGCAATTATTATGCAGAAAAATAATTTAAATAAAAAAACTAAATAGAATTTCAAGCCGCCTGGGTGGACTTCTGACGTGAAGTAAAGGTTCCTCATACAAATATCATCAGCTTTTCGGTGGAGGCTTAGAATATATAGTAGTTGCCAACATTTGTTAAAAAAACGCAAAACGCAAAACCACACATTGGAGGAGGAGTTCGGCTGAAAATCGTTTCAGGGGTTATAAAGCGCCATTCACATTTATATATATTGTATAAATGAAAATTCGAAATAACTTTTAGAAGTTTTAAATCGCTTAAAGCTGCCAGTCCGAATGAAATACTAACCAGTTTGTCGCAAAATAGGACAGAGCTATTGGAACAGTGAGTTGCCTCGGTGTGTGTGGCAGGAGGCCAGCGCAGTTTTCATTACCAAGTCCGGTGAGGAGAATTACACTGTATGGAAATGGCTTATACCGATTAATCTGTTATTTTTCCGCTGAAAAGCATGAAAACGATTTCTGAAGATTGTATCAAGCAACTCTCCTAGTGGCTGTATTTCCTAATTTTTTCAAGGATAAATTACTCACCATAATGTAGACGGGACAATTGAAAAAGCGATACTTAAAGGATGGTACGTCCTCGCGGTTTCAGTAATGTGAACTCATTCGGGATCAAACAGATTTTACTGCTCGGTGCTTGATAGTTTGTCTCGTTTTGAAAGGCCATAAATGTCTTCAACTGAAGGTTAAGGCGTTAAACTGAAATAAGTGCTGAATAAAGATCGTTATTTAAATTTAAGAAAGGTAACTGCTATAACTGCATTGCTGCTGGATACACGGTTCTATACCAAGAAAATCACAACAAAACCTTCCGCATATTTTTCCTTTACTTTCTTTTCATTTACTTTCTTCCCATACTTGGATGCTGACCACACAAATTACCATTACTGTTGTATAAAATGTCAAGAAGTGTTGTTTACAAATATGAAATAAATAGCAACAGATCTGTTTTGTTTACACATGCATAGCCAATATGACACTGCGTATGCGCATTTTTTTTTTTTTTTTGTAATAAAATGTAATGCCACTACTTTTTAGCATACATATGTAGGCTGAGACAAAAAAAGAAATCGATATCTGTTGGTGCGAAATAATCATATATCTTGATGTGCTTTTATATGCCTTGAAGGCAACCTTCGCTACACAAACATTCTATGCAGAACTCACTTCACTTGCTTGGTTATGGAGATGTATGTTTTTACATTTTGTTGACACTTCACAATGCAATGAAGCTTATGACAGTTGATTTGTTTCCTCATTTCTTTGGCATTTTTCACAATACTTTTCTGTGCTTTAAAGTTCTGCCGCATTGCTCATACGCCCTGGCCGATGCAAGAACGGTAGCTGTACACATACATGTGTACATATTTTGTAAATAGAAGCCTTGCTGTTTGCATGGAGAAAAACTTTATGATGCCTTTCCCTTTTCATGTTTATCTTCAAGAGGCGATGAAGGCGTTAAAAAATGCTTTGGACACACTAGAAAAAAAATTTAATTGAAATGATTTCAGTGCGCTGTTTTCATTCTCAAGTTTAATAGCCAGTTTATTTTTGTTTTTTCTTTATTGCCTGTTGTTATACTAGTATTTTATCGTTAGCAAAGTGGCTGTGCATTGCTAGCCATGTGACTGGCATATGTATGTCGTCTGTAGAGTTTTTTTTTTTTGTATTTTACAACTTGCTTTGGTCACAACTAAACCCACTTGAACTACCTGACACCATTTTTTCCTCAACACATTGTTCTTATGTATTTATGTATGTATGTATGTATGTATGTATGTATGTGTGTATTGTATATTTGTAGTGTTTTGTGTCTTTTAACAGGCCAAGAGTGTGTGTTTCATGTCATTCATTAGACACTTGACGGAAGTGCAAGTGGCAGTCAAACAAAGTGCTGTTGAGGCATGACAACAGAGAAGGAGTTACAAAGAATAAAAACAACAGTACAACTGATTGCCTTAGTTGGGAAGGCAAAAGCTTTCGTAAGCAAACTCTTTCAGTCAACCAGTTTATCGACCAGTAAACCAGTATGTACAATTAAGCTGGTATGCAGGCTCAGTGTGTGTCAGCAATCGAGTTGAGTGGTAAACAACGAACGGAAATGGAAACGAACGGAAAATGGTCAACACTTTTAATTGTGAGGAAATGCAAATATTTTGTTTGTATTTTTCACTCAAGCTTTTTCATTATATACCATTTTTTTTAACTCTGTCCGCCTTCAGCTCAGTTTTTTAGCTTTGTGACATTTCGGTAGGAAAACTAAACTTTGACATTAACTGTCTATGAAAAAATAGCGTGACCGAGAAGCAAAAAGGACTTACCGAACGTACCTACACACACATATATATATATATATCTATATTTGCAGCGTGAGCTAGTTTAAAGCTTAAAGCTCTATAGCTGGTTGTAAACAATATAAATAGCTCCGATGGCAATATTAAGTGGCCGATTAAGTTTGTCTGATTGTGTGAGAGTTGAGTTTTGGTTAGTCTTTGAGGATGGTGAAAAAAACATCAATACTATAATATGCCCCGAACAAAATAAGGGTTCTCCCTTCCTCCCCAACCTCTTATTATATATTGCAATTTTTATTTTATTTTATTTTGGACCGTGTTATATAATTTCATTCAAATCTTTCATTTTTCACTGAATTTTTTTACATTATTTTCTTTTACGCCAGTTTAATTCATAATTATTTTTTATTTTACTTTATCTTATTTTACTTTATTTTTTTATATATTTCTATACTTTTCTTTATTATATATTTTTATTTTTATTTTTATATTTTATTTAATTTTACTTTATTTTATTGTTTTAATTTAATTTTATTTAATTTGATTTAATTTAATTTAAATTATTTTATTTCATTTTATTTAATTTATTTTTTATTTTATGTTTTATGTTTAATGTAAATTTTATTCAATTTAGTTTTATTTAATTTAATTAAATTTGATTACCAAGTGAACGAAAGGCCTGGTTTGTTTGTACCAATTGAAAAATGGTTGAAGTGACAGCCGTTTCGGAGATCATCACATCTCCTCATCAGACTTCTTATGGTAGGGATCGAACCAACAGATCCTGACTTAACAGGCGAGTGCTCTACCACTGCGCCAACATCAGCCATATAATCTTTTTTTGTATTATTTAATTCAATTTAGCCACTATTTTGTTAATAGCTTGGTTAATGAGTTGTTTTGGAATCCTCTATACCTTCAGCCGTTAATTGACTAAAAAATGTATGGGCAGGATTTAGTATCATACAAACTAACCAGGCTTTTAGTTCGCTTAGGACTTATATCAACAATTATTATATATTGTAGCATGGCCGGAAAAACTGTTATTAATTAATTTTTATTTAATTTTATTTTATATCATTTTGTTTACTTTATTTTCTTTACATTTTTTTATTTTATTTTGTTTTATCTTTTCGTGTTTTTTTATTCCTTTAAATTTTAATTTTACTTTATTATATTTAATTACGTTTTGTTTTGTTTTGTTTTGTTTTATTTTATTTTATTTTATTTTAATTTTATTTATTAATTTTTATTTTATTTTTTAATTTGATTCTACTTTAGTTGATATTGATTTTTTTATTCTTTATTAATATTACTTGACATATCTTAATTAATTTTTTTTTACCATTTCTATTTTATTTTACATTTAGTTTGTTTAATTTAACCTTTTTTGATTTTAGTTTAAGTTGACATTTTTTAAGTTCATTTAAATTAATTGTTCTTCATTTGATTCTGTTTCATATATTTATGTTGTTGTTTGCGTTTTGTAGTTTATATTATTTAAGTTTTTCATTCTATATTATTTATATTACTTAATATATTTTATTTTTCGTTTTGTTTTATTTCCTTATATATAATAATTTATTTTATGTTAATCTATATTAATATAAAGGTTGTCAAATATCTCCCTTCCGCTTTTTTGCTCTTCATTCAATGCTTTATAAAAAGTGTTACAGTGATCGGATTTAGTTAAAATATGCGCCGTTTTGTTCGATGATCTGTTTCCATCTAGACGGCAACTTCATATTACCTTCCTCGTAGAAGCCCCCCTCTTTATTTGCGAAGAATGCGGACAGCCACTTTTCACAAGCCTCTTTTTAGTTCAACTTCACACAACCAAGGGCATTCGCCATGGACAGGAACAGGTGGTAATCACTTGGCGCTACGTCCGGGCTATATGGTGGATGCGATGAAATCTCCCATCCGAGCTCCCGTAGCTTCTGACGAGTCATCAACGAAGTGTGTGGTCTGGCGTTGTCCTAGTGGAACACTATACCCTTCCTGTTGGCCAATTCTGAACGCTTCTGGTCGATCGCCTGCTTCAAGCGGTCCAGTTGTTCGCAGTAGATGATAAAATTAAGCATCTGGCCATATGGGAGCAGCTCATAGTGGATGATTCCCTTCCAATCGCACCAAACACACAGAAAAACCTTTTTGGTCATCAATCCGGTCTTGGCCACCGTCTGGGCCGCTTTCCCGAACTTTGACCACGACCGTTTTAGCTTGATATTGTCGTATGTGATCCAGTTTTCGTCGCCAATCACTATCCGCTTCAAGAATGGGTCGAGTTCGTTCCGTTTCAGCAGCATATCGCAGGCGTTGATTCGGTCCCGAAGGTTTTTTTGCGTCAAATTATGCGGCACCCAAACATCAAACTTTTTTTTGTATCCAGCCCTCTGCAGATGGTTCAAAATGGTTTGTTGACTAACTCCCATCTCCTGGTTGATGTCACGAGATGCCATATGCCGGTCTAACTCGATGTATTCCATGATTTGATCGGTATTTGTCGTCACAGGTCTTCCGACGGCTGGCAAAACCATTCCTCCGCGGTTCGAAGTGATAGAGTACCATCCCCCAAAACACCATTAATCTCACGGAACGTTTCTCTAGCGGATTTGCCTTTAACGAAGGAAAACTTTAAAATAGCGCGAATTTCGGCGTTAGTGAACTCCATGTTTAAACGTCTATAACTGTTGAACGCAATATCCAAACTAATCATGCATAGCTGTTTGTTTTGTAGGTTATGTCAAGACCTTTCAATTTATGTATAGTGTTGCCAGATACGAGCTCTGTAGCGCTTTGTACATAGCCGCGAAATTCAAAAGACAAAAAAGCGGAAGGGAGATATTTGACAATTTATATTTTTCCTTCTCCTATTTTATATAAGTTTACATTTCCTAATTTTTTTCATTCATTTTATTTAATATTTATACATTTTGTATGTTCGAATATGCAAAATGAAATTATGTTCGTATCTTATTGTAAATGAACTAAGGAAAGAAGGAATTATTAAAATTCCTTAGACTCAATATTTTGTTGAGATATTGCTTTTTTGTCTTATAATTTCTTATGAATTCATATTTTTCTTGATAATATAAGCAAAAGACCGCATCATCAGAAAATTAGCAATTTTCTTAAGAATTACGAAATCATAAATGTAAATGATGAAAAAGGAAAAGTTTTCATTTATTTTACTTATGAATATTTTCTCCGCAATTAACGTTGAATTTTCCACACCTACAACTTCTGCCAGCAAATGTATTTATTTTCATTGTTACTTTCTTAATTCTTTTTATTTTCACATTTTTCTTGTTGTTTGTTTACTTGCAGTCGTCTGTGCCTGCGCGTCTTGACCTGCTGTGGAAATTTCTGAAGCCCGTCTCATTCTCACTCATCGGCAAAGAAATTAATTTCGATGTATTGGATGGCCGTGTCGTCGGCTACGGTGCACTGCTGGTGCTGCTCGGAAGTTTGGTAATTAAACTCGACTGTTTTGCTACAACTTTTGCCATTTTGCAAATTTATTTTGCGGTGCACTTTATTTGTACAGTGTGGTGGCTCGCGTGTGGGCGAGTGTGCGGGTGTGCGAATGTGCGGGTGTTGGTGTGGCGTACTTAACTACTTACTTATTGTTGATGCTGGCATTACACTGTGATAGCCAGCATTTGCAATAAATTAAGATGTTTTTGGTATGCATTTATTTTTGCTGTTGTTGTAGTTGCCACCACAAAAGGCAACCGACAGCGTTGCACGCTTACCAAAAGCTGACAAGCAATTTAGATGGTATTTTGGCACCAAAAATGAATATGCAATGAATATTTATATATATACACGTACAATATGGCGAACTATATTTGCATTTTGTTGCGATTTTTGTAGAATTTCTTTAATGTTTCCGTATTTAACTTTAAATTGTCTATGTATTTATACAAAAGTATATAAATTGTTAAAAATTTTATTTTTTATGAATATTCTAAATTTCTTAACTTTATCAAATTATTTTTGATTTCATTATTTATAAATCTTCTCTTCTTAAAATTTCAGTTTCGCTTGACATTCGCTTACCTCTCCACCTATGGCGGCAATCTGACGCGCAAAGAACGCGCCTATATTACAATTTCCTGTTTCCCTAAAGCAACTGTCCAAGTAAGTATCCGTTAGCAATGCTTCGTTGGGTTTGTTTAATTCGTACTTTTTTATTTATTTTATTTTTAGTTATTTAGTTTTTTTTTTTTTTGCTTTAAGTCCCTTGGCTGTTTTTACCACCATTTTTCGTTTTTAACTTTTTTTTAGTGCTCTGAAGCCCATTGGCAACAATACTAGATAACTTAAATATAATTCTTCCATAAGCTGTAATCGAAGAATCGTACGTCCGTAGCACTGTGAATAGCCTAATGCTGCAACTACTCATCGTACATACCTCACAGCCGCACCAACCGACTGAAAGAGAATATACAAACACGAGTATTATGTGTGGGACAACCGTCAGTAACGGCATTGGCAGGCGCTGACAACTTTTCATCTACATGGCGCTCTCATAAGATAGGTTGCTATGGCTGCGAGATATGTAAGATGGGTAGTTGAAGCATAAGAACCAAGTTGCATTTGAAATCAGCCGAAAACTGCTCGCTAAGTCCATACACTAATTTATACGATCTCGTTTTCTACTAATTTCTTTTTACTCCGAAATCTTATTCAAAACCCACCGTGGTAATACCGCGTGCAAAATAAAAATAATATTTTCAGATGGGAACTACAAAGCAATACTCAACATGGAATTTCCTTGATGGCCTTATATTACAATATCGGTTCACAATATTCTCGGTTTATGGTTGCTATAATAGTAAATAATAACAATAACGCTTACAGCTGATCATAATTCGAAAAGAAACTGAGGTATGCTGCTTGACAAGCCTACTATGCAGGTCGTCATACTCGCGATGTCTGTCCTTTTTGCTCTGCAAATGCAAGCCGATTCTTTCTTCAACTCTCTAAAAAGCTGTCTACCATTTGACGAATGGTTTGGGTGAGCAGGAGTACAAGTCCTTGCCATTTTATATGCAAACCGAAAGTGGCTTAAGTCCGTATTGGGCATTCGTTGAAAACGGACATCTGTTGAGGGCATGTCTTTCATCTAGCACAAAAGCGGCGATTTGATTTATTTTTTCTCTTTATACGGTGTCAAAACGGTAGGCTTGTTCTAATATTTTATGCCAGTTGATAATTTTTCGGAGCTTCTAGTTAGTTATCAGCAGCTTCATGCGAATATGGGCTACCCTAATTGATTGTAAACATACATAAAACGCACTTATACAGGGTTTTTCAAAAAGAGGTATTATTTCGATATTGATTTATTTTGAAAGAATTATAAAAAAACCTAACAAGCGAAAATCCCACCGCTGCTGCGCTTACAGGACTGTAACCGTTTTATGTAATTTTTCATAATCAAATCGGCAACTGGCTCTTTTATGGCCTCAATAACTTTACGAATTCCATCTTTGCTGTCCTAAAGTTACATAGTTACATTGGTCTATTGGCGCAGACCTCATCTTTCACGTGGCCCCAAAGAAAGAAGTAGCAAGGTGTTACATCAGAAGATATCGGTGTTCAACTGTAATCACGTCTTCGAGAGATAAGACGGTCTGGAAACTTTTCCTTTACAAGATCAAAGTTTTCGTTGCTTGTGACACAGCCTTATTGATCAATACCATGCAATTCTGGGCATGAAATATGATTAGGAATTCCCCGGTAGCGCAACTTCTTCGCTGTAATTGTTGCTCCAGCTGTCAGCCATCGAGGTGTAAATAGCCCCATCAGTCAAGATTATTATTCGTTGAAACTCCGGAGCATTTTAAAACATTTCTAGGAGAAAATCAGGAAAGACATAACTAGGAATGGACAAACCTGGCTTTTTTAAGGAGCAGTTCTGCTCAGTTGTTGTCATGTTTTATACTTCACAACACTAGCTTGAGCCAACAGCACTATTTTTCACCAATTTCTGTATTCCGGTCCGACAAGGTGCTTCGCGACGACAGACATTTTTTTTTAATTTTCCGAATCACCTCTGCCAGGCTTCCAACATTTGTTTAGTGAATTTTATTAATTTCTGTGCATTTTTTACTTTGCTAATGCCAACAAATCACAGCTTCAATATTGGCATCTACCTCTTATTAGAAAAGCCTAAACCAATGTTTTGGGCAAAATACTCCACAAGCTTTTCCCTTTTTAACAACAAATGTACCGTTATGTTTTGTAATGCTAAGAGCAGGCTTTGAGACCGCGTTGAACCACAACGGTATAAGCCAAAATGTCACAATTCTCAGCGCAAACACACACACGCACACACGCGCCTCTGCAGCCCAAGCGTGTGCAATGCCTTGAAACGAGTACATCTCAAGTATCTGTGTATAGAGACCCATTCTAATGCTAAGTATGTATGCACATCTGTAAGCAAGTCCATTTCACTATACATACTTACGTGTACGTAAATGTAAATGTGTATGTATGTTTGTGGCTTTTTGTGCTTGTGGCCGAAGAATTTAAAAGCAACATTTTCAAAGTAATTCCCTAACGCTAACTCATTGAATAACATACACACATACAAACATACACACGAAATAAATATAATATATATGAGCAAAAAAAAAGTATAAGTATCCGCTCGCCGCCATCATTTCCTGCTCTGCTTCGACTAGTAAAACTGTGAATTCAAAAAAGTAGCTTTTCTGTTTTCTTTTTTTTCAACTTGCCTCTTTTTGCACTGTCAGCTTCCCTGCAGTGTCTCTCTTCGCTGCACCCACTTCATTTTTGGCATTTTTTCGGTTGAGATTTTCCCTATGTAATTTCCTTGTTGCATGTTTCATGTTGCAATGTGGCATGTGGCGCATATGTTGCATGCTTTTGTGGTCAACTTACACTTTGTTCGGCTAAATATGCGGTCAACTGCGATTCACATTTTTCTCGCCTCTTTGGCATGGCTCGGCTTTTGACTGTCCCATGAGTGCTCAGTTGGCCACTTGGCAAACAAGTTGTTTGGCTGGTTTGTTGGCAACAGATTGGTTGATGGTTTGTTTTGCTTGGTGTGTTACGTGGTTGGCCGCATTGGTAGCTGGCCTGATATTTTCCATGATTGGGAAGATTTAAATTTATTACATGAATTTGTGAAAAATATCAAAATAAAATGTTTCGAAAATAAAGCCTTAATAAAATTATTTTGTTTTTTCTTTACAATTTTAATATAATTCGAGTAAATTAACAGAAATACTCTTGTTTGGTTTAATTGAGTTTATTTTGTTTAATTGTAGTTTGTTTCAATTTATTTAATTTTGTATAATAATTTTATTTAATTTTTTTATATTTTTTTAATTTTTTTTTTTACATTATTAAATTTTTCAGTTTATTTAAATTTTTTTTCTGTAGTTTTATTTTATCTAATTATTTAATATTTTTGTTTTAGCTTAACTAATTTTATTTCATTTTATTTTGTTTTATTCTTTTTTATTTGCATTAATGTCAAATGTCATGGTACGCAGTAATGTATTCACATACAAATTTTGCCCAATTGGGTTTAAATGAGTATAAAACATATATTTTTTAGAACTGAATTCGAAGTATTAACATAATTTACTAATTTAATTTTTTTTTCAGCTTATTATTATATTTATATTATTATTATATTATTTTATTAAAATTTCTTTTGGTAATTTTCATTATATTCTCTTTTACTTAATCTAATTTCAATTAATTTTATAAAGTTTAATTTAATTTGGTTGATTTTGAATCTACTTTAATTTATTTTAATTTTGTACTTTTTTTCAATAAAGTTTGTTTTATTTTGCTTTATATTCACTTTTTATTTTATATTTTTTTGTTTAATTGAGTCTATTTTTTGGAATTATAGTTTGATTTAATTAATTTAATTTAGTATAATAATTTTATTTATTTATTTTTTTTTTGTTTGATTTTATTTAATTTTTTTTTTTATATTTTGTTTTACATTATTAAAATCCTTAGTATATTTTAATAGATTTTTCTTTATTTTGATTTGAACTATTTATTTTATTTTTTGTTTTTGTATACTATTTTATTTATTTCTGTAATAAATTTTTTTTTATTTTATTTTGTATTACCATTTTAATTCATATTTTAGTTTAATTGAGTTTATTTTGTTTAATTATAGTTTGTTTTAATTTAGTATAACAATTTAATTTAATTTTATTTATTATCCTTAGTTAAATAAAATTTTTATTTAAATTTATTTTTCCATATTTTTATTTGAACTATTTATTTATTTTTTTTGTTTAAGCTTAACTAATTTTAATTTTTTTTTGTTTTATTCGTTTTTATTTTTATTAATATGTTATAGATTTTCTTTTTATTTTATACATTATGTTTTTTTAATTTTATATAAATTTTTTATTTTTATTTAACATTTATTTGGATTACTTTATTTATTTTAGTATATTATATGTAATTTATATTTAGCTTAAATACTTTTGTTCTGCTTTTATTTTATTTTTTTTGTATTTTATTTTATTTAAGTTAAGTTAATTATATTTTATTTTTGTTTTGCTTAATAAGTTTGTGTTTGAGTTTATTTAGTTTCAATATATATTTTTTTAATTTAATCTTATATTGTATTTGCTTAAGATATTTTATTTTAATTTTTTTTTTTGAAGCTTAAAATAAATTTGCTGTCTCTTACCTCAAAGGTAGAGAAATGTCTGCGCTAACGGTTGCTTCCATCACAGTTAGTATGTACATAAATATATTTAAGTATTTCGAAATATGACCCGCAACCATTAATGAAGAAAATAGAAGGAAGATGCATAAAGAGCATCTAGAGCCAAACGAAATGCATCCAAAGAGCGTCAAAGTGTTTGCGCGTTCGTTCTTTCTCAGTAAAATATCATTATCAAAGTAAATTTTGTGCTATTCTGCGCTAGTATTTTTTGTAAAACAAGTGAATTTAAGTGTATGTATAGCTCTGACAGCCGTTTATGTGAATGAAAGGTTTTAATTTTATTTAAAAGAAAATAATAGAATTTCGAAGGATTTTCAGTGGTCTTCAATTTAATAAATAAATTTTGTAAAGTTTTGAGTTCAACTAGCGCGGTCTATTTAATTGTATAGTCAATGTTTTTTTTATTTATCAGACCTTGAAGCAATATTGAAGTTCTGAGCAATTTACAAGTTCTTCCCTTTGCGTGTTGTACCAGATTCTCAGAAAAAAACAGCACATTAATTATTGGAATATGTTCAAATAATCAACATATATTTTAAATAATTTCAATTTTCAAATTTCAAATTTGTGTATGTCCAATACGTAAATACGCTTAAATCATTTACTGTTGTGTCTATATATAGATATATACATATAAATTCAAGTAAAGAATTTAATTACATTCAATTAATTATGAAATATCCGCTAAGTTGCCTTGCCAATACGAAACTCATTTGTATAGATGACACTGATTTCAACAGACATACACGCACACATATATAAATAAATGTAGCCAGTTCTCAAATAACAGTAGAGATTTAATACTACGGCTACTCTACGCAGTGCTTGATTGTGCTTATTTTTGTACGCATCCAATCATTTAATTTTATTTAATATCTTAAATAATAAAATCAACGTTGTTGATATGAAATTTTATGAGCGCGTAAATTCTTTTATTCATCTACGCACACATTTCATACGGTGACTTGTTTGCCTGAGGGAAAAAGCCGAAGTTTCCGACCACGTAGCTGATGTCATTTCGGCAGCCTGTTAATTCGGCTGGCATATTCATGAAATGGTCATTAAAAGCCACCACTGCCAAAATTTAATAACCAATGCGGGTGTACGTAATTTCAAGCAATATATAACAGAATAATTGAATTATTTTAAGATTCATTAATAAGAAAAACATCTATATAAATATAAATATAAATATAAATATAAATATAAATATAAATATAAATATAAATATAAATATAAATATAAATATAAATATAAATATAAATATGAATTCAAATATATTACTATGAAAATATTTAAGACATTTATATCGAATACCCTACTGTACTGCTTTTCCCCATATCATAGTCATTACTCACCTACTTTTCGCTCATCATCTCCAGTGACTGTAGTTTCTTAATTTCTATCACATTTTCTCCCGTAGGCCGCGCTGGGTCCACTCGCACTAGATATGGCGAGGTCGTTGAAAGGCGTCGACGAGCAGAGTATCAATTTGGCCAGCAATGTACTTATCATTTCGGTGTTGGCCATCATTTTCACCGCACCGCTGGGGGCTGTACTCATGTTGAGATTAGCGCCGCTTTGGTTACAACGCAGCGATGTACATGGCGAGGGTAATGGCAACAGCAACTCTCGCGATTGTGATGTAAATGAGTTTGTAAGCAGCAAGAGCAACAACACTGACAGCCCCGATGATACGTTGAAGATTTCGAAGAAAATTGCACAAAGCCTCAGTCAGGCAGGCAGTAAAACTCAAAACAACGGCAGTAGCAACAGCCTCAAAGGCGCGGTTGATGTGTACACTGTTGATGGTGATGGCGATGGAAATGGTGATGCCGGCCAAGTATCGCGTACACAATCGCCATGGGCAAAGGAGGATGAGAGGAAGGCGTCACGCCACTAGGTTTGAATCCAATTAACAATGCGGATAAGTCGGCGTCCGCGACTTGACTTGCTGTCCAGCGGTCTGTCGGATGTAGGGTGTAGAGTGTGATGTGTATGTGTTTGTTTTAACATTATGGCGACGTTATCTTTAACGTTGATTTATTTTTTTTTGTACAAAAATGTAAGACACGCGTTAATAAATATATATTTTCTGGACGTCTTATTAAGTAAATTTATCAGAAAAAATGTATGTTTATTTGCTTGTACAATATTAAGTTGGCTTACTGTACTTTAATGTGACGTGATACTTAATTCAGAAAATTTGATTACTTAATGATCGCTTACTATTGAATAACCGCTAATTGTGATGTTGTACTTACAAATTTACCTGTACTTTATTAAGAAGCATATAAATAAGAATCTATAAGACAAACTATGCATTTAAAGTCTTTGTATAAAGTATATAAGTATTGCTTTAATATCTGTGGTTCATGTAGGGTATATACTCTCTTCTATAGGAGTCGCAGAGGTATACTCAATTCCAACGTCCAGTCCATCTGGAGCAAATACGGTGATATTAGGTATAGTAAAAAGTAGTCCATTATTTTTTCAGCAGATGGCAGAAAATGGGAATAGTATGTATGACTATGATACTGTAACTGTCAATCATGCACAGTTTCGGTTTCGTCGACTTCGTTTCGTATTTTTGATATAAAACAGGCAGTACAATGTGAAATTTTAATAGTCGAAAATCTCGGTAAAATAATAGAAACGATCGAGCTCAATGTATGGGTGTGTTTTGAGTTAATGAGAAAAAACCTCAATGACCGTATTTCCATTTGCTAGTTACTGCTGAATCGGATAGTGACTGGTAGCCGTGATCGATAGCCAGTGAGAAGGCACAAATGACTTCCAAGCCAGGATTGACGACCGAGAAGGTTTTGTGGTCTGTTTGGTGGGATTGGCAAAGAATAGGGCGCTATGAGCTACGACAAAACTCTGAGTTCGGACCTAGACTGCCAGAAAGTGGACCGTCTGAAGGAAGCATTAGTCCAAAAACGGCCAGCTTTGGCCAGCAGGAAGGGAATCGATTTATCAGGACAACGAAAAGCACACACACATCGTAATTGACTCGCGAGAACTTCTAAGAGGTTGGTTGGGAGGTTCTTATGCATTCGCCTTGTAGCCCGGACCTTGCCATCACCATCGGTTTCTGTCAATGGCGAATGAAGTCGTGGGTGAAGAATTGGGCTCAAGAGAAGTCTTTAAAAATCGATTTTGCCTTGCTTTTTGCGAATTTGGATAGCTATTTCGTCGTCGAGAAAATCGAAGCTTAAATTCTTGGAGATTTTATAGTTTTGGGTATTGACAAAGTTCATGATCATGCCCTGCTAACCACTCGTCTGCTGCTTCCGCAACTTAAGTAATGCAATCAATCATGTGTGGGGTATCGGGTTACCATCTAAAAATGGAAACTTTAGTGAATTGTGACCTGAAAATATATAAATTAGTTCTCAAGAAACCCATAAGAAATCCTACTTCTATAACAAACAAAATGAGGTTTTGACGTTTCTACGCTTTCGGTATTTACAATCGCCTTTCAAAGCATAAAACAAGCGCTGAACTTATTTTTGCAAACTTTCGTCGTCTCTACAACCTAGTTCTTTGTTTGCGCCTACTCAGTGGTATATGGACTTAAAAACAAAAAAAAACAAAATTGTTGATATGGAACTTTTTCAGCAGTATACAACTACTCAATATTGGCCTTAAAAGAAGTCACACATCTGAAGAAAGATAATCGTATAAAGGAATGCACAACTTGTATAGGATTCATGGTAAATGGAAGATTTTGTCTTTGAATACGAAGTGATGGAAAGCATGTAGCCACAATTCCTATTAATGATCCCCTTGAGAGTAGTCCCACCCTAAAGAGAAAGAACTGAACAAAAAGGCCGCACTTGGGAATATATATGTAATGATGAGTTCTCTTTCAGAAACGATGGGAGTTGTGTTTTATCAGTTCAAGTTCGCACCCGAGGAAATATTTGGTTCTTGATAGAGTCGAGACGGGAGTACGAAAGTTTTCTTCCTAATCATAGTCGACTCAACTAAACTTTTAACCATAGAAATTGCGCTTTAAATAGTTATAGAAAATGGCCAAATAACATTCTATCATTTGGTTTTAATAAAAATATTTGACTATTCCGGCTAATGATGCCACATATGGCTGACGCAACCGGTTTTACAGCAGCCTATTCTGTTCTGTCTGCCAACTCAGCTTTTTAAACGCCTTTACGATTTTGTGGCCCTCTACGCCTACAGTCATGAATCGTGTCTCGTCTTCCCATAAAGAAAAGTCCAATGGAGTCTACACTTGACACAGCGAGGCGCCTAGTAGACATCTCCGTTTGCTGTGTGCCACTTACCATCGTTTCGTTCAAACTTTTGTCCGGCCTATGTCATTCCATTCAACATTTGAAAGCAAATAATTTTTGAATATCTTATGATTACTATCGGTCATAATACGTCGCAACTCCTCATTTGGAATGCGTAGGGTTTTCCATAGTTACGTGTTGGTTTTGTAGTCGCCTGGATAAACATTAAGTTTCAACGGAAAAGATTTTTAGCTTTAAAGGCTCCTCATCGGCCAAGCGATTTTCATTACATCTAGCGAGGCAAATTATCATCTATTGACCATGAGGCTTTAACTCTTAGGCCAATAGTATATACTTGAAGGCCTTTAGGCTAAGTTCTTCGTTACGATACCCGAAACCCAGTTACGCTTTACAAACTTCCTGCACAACCCCGCTGTAGTATATTCCACAAAGAGGTACTTTCATCGGTACTTCTCTACTCGGTATTTCCTTTTGACGGTGGTGATGACAGGATTACACAGCAGTACGAGGATACCGATTGGTTCAGGTGAAATGAGCAGAAATCTAACGAGAGAGCGAAGTGAGTAACATAGAGCCTGGAAGTCTCTATACACGACTGACCTAACCAAAGTGCTGAAGTTAAACGGATATATTCAGCCATTGATAGCCTAAAGAACAATTAAACAGCAAAAATGAATACCATACCTTCAGAGCTATTCAATGATGGGCTACACCTGCTACTGATAAAGATTATGTTAGAACCAAATGGAATTTTAGAATAATGCCGACTACACCCGCAGTCACGATTAGAATCTACAGATTAAATTCACCTGCTGACCTAAGTAGGGCTAATTCAGCCCAAAAGTGTCAGAATTATACCGCATAACGTCCGGGTCAAGTCTAAAGCGTGGCGAGAGCTGTCGTGATTGTCGCTTAAGGTCTGAATACTCTGGAAGGCTCAGTTTCAACTTATTTTTATTCAACGCCCAAATATTTAAGGTAATTTTGTCCGCAGTGAGTCTCCACACGACAATAATAACATTTTTGAAAGTCCAATAAAACCCATGCATCTAAAACCTCTCTATTACTGTTCCGAAAACGTTGAAAGTACTCGTTATTTTGGATGACTTCGGCGGCATGGGTAATTTGTTTCTAGTTTGCTTGCAAACTACAGCAACAATAACAACGCTAGAATCGGTTTCCTCATATTGAGTACTAGAGTTTGCCGGTGACTTCGTCCGCTTGAAATTTTAAGATGGTTCTAATAAGATATATTAAGTATATTACATTATTATAACTTTTATACCAAAATGTACCAAACTTCATATTAACCAACGATTTTAAAATAAATTGGTGTTTTTTCGAATAAATCGGTCTCAGATACATTTTGGTAATATCTTTTCTTATCGGGTGTATACGTCATAAGCAAAGCATACCCTTCAAGCTTTGGCCTCTGGCCAGTGGTTTTGACCGTGTTTTAATCCATTAGTCATTCAGAACAAAACCTTTTATATATGTTCTATATATGTACATAAGATCCTATGTAGTGTATTGTGTAAGAGATTGAAACATTAAGTGATTGTTAACGATCTGTACCGTCGCTAAAGGTGCTAAATTATTTACTTCACGCTCCAAATCATTTTGAAGAGTGCAACTAAACAATGGTTCTCATGTAGCAGACATTATTCATAGTTTTGAAGTTGTGGCTTTAAAGTACAGCCACTTTTCAATTATTTTTCAGACAAGTGTGGTCGAAATAGGTGACATTAAATGAGAATTCCATCATTAAAATTCCATAATAAAGTAATGTAAAAATATTGAATAATAAAAAAATTGCATGCGAATATTGAACTCTTAAATGAGGAAAAATAAATAAAAATTCAATGCGGCGGCGATGCGTCAACAAATTCTGGGATGAAACTCGTAAAACACTTCAATCAAACGCCGAGTGGAAAAGCGGGAGTGGAAAAGAATGAAATTTATTTATTTCCAGCCATCTATTGGCGTAGCCTCTCAAGTGTTGATGTGAAAGTTCATTCAATTCTAAGCAAACGCAAATAAATGTACGCATAACAAACATATATACACGCGCTTACATCCACAACAGTATATTTGTAAAGTTTTGCAACGGCTGGCTTTTACTGACAATTGAAAAACATTTACACGAATCCTTATTTGCAGTACACCCACTCGTATTTGCATATATGTGTAGGATATTCGTGTGTATTTGAGTGGTTGTGCATGCCCTGCGGAGAAGAGATCTGACAGTCTGCAAAAATTTATAATTAATTATTATTATTTTACTAGTATTTTAGAACGAGAATACACTGTTTTGCCATAGACCAGGATTGTTCTGGTATTTTTCGGTAAAATCTGGCCTTGTTTGCAAAAACTTTTTTTAAGAACGAAAGGTTTCGGACAAAATCATATTAAAAAAGGAGAGCTCTTCAGAACCACACAATACTAGACTTACCTCTACAACAACCACATATAATTGTTGTTTTTTATACTATGTTCAATTCTGGAAAGAAATAAATTTACAAACTTCAAGTAAGTGAACCATATGTGTGTATTTTCAAATAAGTCGGTCTCTGGTCAATTTCCCCTGAAAGGAGTTTCCCGAAACCATTCTCAAATCTAACTGGAGACACACAAAAAATTTGGTCAAAAATATTTGATTTTCATTAGGTCTATTCGAACTAAAAATTCAAACCGAGGAGTTAAAAGACTGTACTTTCTGAAAAAAAATGTCCAAGAAAGTAGGCAAACCCGAAACTATACATCACTCATTGAGCCAGCCAAAACATCAGCTGGTGCGCGTTATTTGCTTGGTTTTCGATTTTTACAAATTAAAAATGGCTGGTGAATGCTCACCAGGAACTTTCCGGAATGTAGAAATTGGTGACCACTGAAATCATAGAAATTTTGGATAATTTGTAATATTTATTCAAAATTATTGTGACAACGAACGGACCTAATATAAGAATTGGAATAATATTTTTGTTTTGAAATTATAATTAGAAAATATGTTTTTTTCCATGAAGACGTGAAACAAAAAAAAAAAT